CGGTGTTGACTCACTCGACTTCCTGGGTCACACTATTGACTGCAAGGGCATTCGCCCACTGGCTACTAAGGTTGAGCCTCCTAAGAAAAACCGTTCTGGACGCACCGTAAGGTTCCCAGAACATTTGCACACTTATTTGACTTAACGAAGTCGTGTGATTCACGCAACTCACTCGTTTGTGGTACTAACTATTTTTTTTTGACGTATAAATTTTTTTATATACAGTACCACCAAACACGAAAAATTTTTTTTCAACAGTTCATGTAACATACACAAAAAAATTAATTATATGTATTTTTTTTCGATGTTCTGAACTTAGCATTATTTTACTGTATAGTAAATGCACATAATTTTTTTTAACCAAAAAGGTCATTTCGTACATTTTCCTCGACATGGTTCTTAGCGTTCTTGTTTTCTTTTCCAGGTGCGACGGGCACTGGACGGGAAACAAACGAAGCACGGAATCCAACGAACAACACCAGGAAGCTATGTACAAACACCCCATTAGCATAGGCAGACAAACCAGTAGGCATAAGACCAAGCCGCTCGGAAGATTTTTTTCACCCGAAAGGGAACCATCGAGTTTTTTTTACTTCCGGCTGGTTCTGTCTTAGGGTCCTCACGACCCCACTAGGGGGGGAGTGAGCTGTAGCGGTAAATAATTCCCCAAAATTATTGACCACAGCAATCACTCATTGGATGCTGACCACCACTGTTTAAGTCGACTTGTTTAGCTGAAGGCTTCCGGTCAAGCATCCCCGCCATTTGGTACCCCGTCGTGTAACGTGCACGATCACTAGCTAGCGTTCGTCTATCGGCTGGTTTTGGTTCCTAAATACATTTCTTCGTTTGGACGACCAATTATTGGCTTTTGCTTTGTCTTTGGTACGCGAGAATAAATTAATTAGAAGTTGTTGAACGAGATATCACGTCTAACCTTTAATATCCCTCAACCTCTAAAAAACTATTTGTAGTATTGTAACCTTAATTAACCTAATGTTGTCTACTTACTCTTGGCCGGCTCCACTTTTTTTATACGCGATCATGAACGTCGTGGAAGTAGGCCCTATAAATGGCTTTTAAAGTCTTCGTTAATTCGTCCTCGAGCATTGCAGCAGAAACTCCCTAATAATGACGGTTGTAAGAAATGTGTAAATACGGCAAGCTTATATGTTATGACTTTGGAGAAGCTGCATTTTGTGAGGGTTAACTTAGGTGGTGTTTGACATGCTGTAAAGATGGTATAAACGTATTTATGAGCGGCTACGTCGACGTTAACGGAGGCTGTCACACCTGCTGTCCTTCCTTTGGACGTCGAGTCTTCTTCAGTGAACACTGACAACATGACCATGGAAACCGAGGTAGTGCCAAAGCCACCTTGCAGCAGCCTAACACCAGCTGCCAGTACTTCACAAATGTGCCCACAAATGTCTTCTGAAAGTGATAAAATGACAAGCATGCCACACAAAATCATTGCTACCACGAACATATCACAGACCAACGTTAACAAAATCTTGAAGAACTTCCGTGAGAGATTGCCTCAACTACCTACAACTATTGGAAGTGTGCTGAGAATATGTGGCTCTTGTGAATCAAGACTAACTGGAGGCGAAATCTATTCTAGTCGGTCTCCAGAAATGTTTGCAGCGCCACATGGAGTTGTTTTTGGTTGAAAGTCCCCACAAGAGGATCGATCTGCAGTTGAATTTCGACGGATTTCCATCTTGAGATCTTCTAACATTCGGTTGTGACCCCCGTTAGGTAGTATTATGGCATCTTTCCTTACCAGTGGACTTTTTATAAGTATATACGTAGGTGTTAGCAAACGTAGCAGCTATAAATAGTTATGCAATCACTTGGTATCTAGGTTAAAGGACATATTTAGTTAAGGCATGCGTATTACCCGAATGAATAGGCATTGCAACGTTTGTGTGTGTGCCGTCATCTGTGATGCGCCAGCTAGAGTGTACGCGAAAATTACAGTAGGCCAAATTCTATAAGTTCTAATGAGTGTACATATGTTCATTCCTGTATCAATGTCTGGTTTCTTTTCAAGAAATAAAATATTTTTATTATAATACCTATGCAAGTTATGAGGAATGCACGTCTACAGGAAGGAAACTTGACAGAATGACATTTGAAAATGGAAGTTTTCCAGCTAGGAGTGATGACAGCTTCCATAAAAAACTGCGGACAAGTCACCACCACGGACAGTTTGCCTTCGAGGATTTGAACATTGATATGGTTAAGGCTTCCCTATTGACCCAATGCACCTAGTCTATTTAGGGGTAGTGAGGAAGCTTATAAGTCTGGCCAGACTCAGCCAAATAAAAGGAGAAGCACATAAACCGGAGCTTACTTTAAACCATTGACGGGAAGATACAAGCTTGTGAACTTCCCAAGAAAGTGTAGGGGACTCACATTAGTTAGTAGCTAGGAGGCCACTGAATGTCGCTCCAGAGTGAGCCCCAAGACTTTTTGTTTTTTAATTCTTATTTTTGTGCGTCGGTGGCACAGTGGTTAGGACTCTCGCCGACCATGCACATGATCTGAAGTTCGATCCCCTGCCGACGCACACCTGATATCTATGGTTGGCCTGCGAAATTAGGGCTACCGATATCCATGCTGAAAAATCCATACTTGTGTGGAGTCCTCAAAAATAAACTTATCCAAATTTTACTACTATGTAAGAAATGAACATATTGTACATCACTTTGTTTTAACCATAAACTCTGTACTTTGAACTTTACCTCGGGTTTTGAATAAACATATAGTTCTGCCTTCGACTCTCCGTCTTCTCCACCACCTCAACTGCCGTCGATCAGTTTTAATCACCTGCTTTCTATCTCAAATTTTTGCAGGAGCACCGTAGTTCTTCCTACGTACTTTGGTCGACCTCCGGCAACGTCAACATTGGAGAATTAGTACTGGAGCAGTCTTCCCGCAGCACCTGGAGTCTATTACGTTTATTGTGGACTTTGGATCTTTGTAAACCCAAGTAACCAAACTTTAATACATTCTTCCCGTAACTAAACTGATTTGGTACTTTATTTTCTATTTCAATTTGGGTAACTAAGCTAACAGAGTAAAAGGTCCACCACAATAATTGGTGAGCCTGTTTTGAACCTTTTTTTATGGTTAACCCGTTTTCGAACCTTTTTGTTTCGATAGTTAACTCGTTTTGAATATTTTTGTTGTCATTTTGGTCTTTTAAACTCGCATTGCTTTAATTTTTGTTGTCATAAGTTTTGCTATTCTGTATATCTCTATACTTAAATATTTTTTTTGACAATGGCTCCATATAAACCTACCACTATCCCCGAAGAACTTCATAAAGGCGAAGCGACACAGAACTCTCCTGTTACCGCCTGGCCGGATTCCACATCTATGAAGGACGCACCACTGTTTTGGTTACTTTCCCAGTTAACATCTCAAATGCAAGACTTACGACTGGAAGTGTCTGAGCTTCGAGCACAAAGGAACCAGTCACATACGGTATCCAAGCAACGGCGATCAAGATCTAGACGACGTTCTAGAACACCGTCCCAAAGCCGTAACATTTGTTGGTATCATAGGAGGTATGGGCATAATGCCCTGAAGTGTCTTCGACCGTGTATGTACAACAGTGGTAACACAAATCAGGGAAACTCCCCAGCCAGACAGTAATGGCGACGGCTGTTACTGGCAATCACCCCAGTCGCCTTTTCTATGTGAGGGATTTGACTACCGGCACATTATTCCTGGTAGATACAGGCGCCGAGGTCAGTGTTATTCCCCCCTCACTATCCAGGCGATCAGCCAAAATACCTGGAAAACTTTCACTCCCTGCTGCCAACCAAACCAACATACAGACGTATGGCGAACAGTCAATGATTTTAAACCTAGGACTACGCCGACGTTTCACATGGATCTTCATAGTAGCTGACGTACGTCACGCTATACTAGGTGCAGACTTCCTAAGTCACTTCAATCTGTTGGTTGATATCAGCAAGAAAAAACTGGTTGACAATTGCACCCAACTCAAGATCCACGGTATTACATGTGACTACTCTGTTCATAGCATCTGTATAGAAAAGCCGGAGAGTGAAATGTTCTCTGCTTTATTGCAACGATTTCCTAAAATCCTTAAACCATCATACAACGTCGAAGATATATCTCATACAGTTACGCATAAGATCATCACAACAGGACAACCTGTGAAGGCACGTCCACGACGGTTACCACCCGATAAACTAGCAGCAGCTAAGTCGGAATTCGAACATATGATGCAGCTAGGTATCATACGACCATCTAACAGCCCATGGTCTTCACCTTTGCACATGGTACCTAAAACTAATCATGACTGGCGACCATGTGGAGATTATCGCGCTTTGAATAACGCTACGGTCCCAGACCGTTATCCTATACCTCATCTCCACGACTTCTCCTTGACCTTACATGGAAAGACCGTTTTTACTAAAGTTGACTTGGTCAGGGCATATCATCAAATACCAGTCGCTCCAGAAGACATTGCAAAAACAGCAATTATCACGCCTTTTGGATTATTCGAATTCTTGAGAATGCCTTTCGGACTAAAGAATGCTGCTCAAACATTTCAGCGTTTTATGGACCAAGTTACCCAAGGTCTTGATTTCGTCTTTGTATATATCGACGATGTCTTAATTGCCAGCTCATCGATGGAAGAACATATGCAACACTTAAGCCTGTTATTTCAAAGGTTTGAACAATTTGGAGTTGTTATCAATCCAAAGAAATGTATTTTTGGTTCCCCTTCCATTGAATTCTTAGGACATCGAATAACTGCCGAAGGCATCAGACCTACCGAAGATAAGATAAAAACTATTAAGAACTTTCCCGAACCTGATTCCTTAAAGAAACTTAGACGTTTTCTCGGGATGTTCAACTTCTACCGACGTTTTATTCCATCATGTGCCTCCATAGTTCAGCCACTGACCGACCTACTTAGATGCAATTCGAAGAAATTTCAGTGGTCTGAAGAAGCAAAAGCAGCATTTAATAATGCAAAAGATGCCTTATCCAACGTTGTAATGTTATCTCATATCAACCCAGAAGCTTCACTCATTTTATGTACAGATGCATCGCAGGTAGCAGTGGGAGCAGTTTTACAACAAAAGTTCAATAATGACATCACTCCACTTGCTTTCTTCTCCAAAAAGTTGGAACCTGCGCAAACTCGTTACAGCACTTTTGGCAGAGAACTGTTAGCCATCTACCTAGCAGTGAAACATTTCAGCTTCTTACTACAAGGTCGACATTTTGCTATCTTAACCGACCATAAGCCTCTTTGTTATGCTTTCACCACTTCGTTGGACAGACACTCTCCGAGAGAAGCCAGACAACTGGATTACATTTCACAATTCTGTAGTAATTTATTGTACTTGAAGTATTAGTATACCGGGATGACGGAATTATAGGAATCTAATCAAAACCCAGAGACGGCAGCAATCAGTAATTTGTATTTAGCGGAATTAGAATGCAATTCATATAAGAAACATATCAACAGTCAACAGTAAGTATTTAAACAATACAGAGATAGAAATTGTCAATCACCACATCCGCCACACCTCGAATATCTCCTCGCGTATTTATAACGATGTCTCGGTTTGCTTGCAAGTAGCCGCGACCTAACTGATTCTGCGATATTATTTTCATCAGTATTATCTGGACTTATTTCTGAATTATCTACAAAATCAGGATTATTAGCGGAATCATTAAAATAATAATTGGAACGACCTACTTCATTTATTGTCACTTTGTCCAGGTGTCCGTTATGAACTGAGTGATCTTTGATGTCTAATATCTTCACCACTCGATTTCCCATTTTTTGTAGTATAATTCCAACAGAAGGTCTGTAGTTATTATCTTTGTAATAATGTACATTAGAAGTAGTGGACATCAGATGCTTTTTGAGAATTCGAGATTTGAATAGTTTTGCAGGACTTCCACAAGAACTTGTATGCTCTGGATTCACCAGACGTAGTCTATGCATATGCAGTAATTCCTCAATTTTATTCAGTTGCTCTCTCATCTCATTCAGGTCTTTTCGTGCTTTCAACAGTTCACATTGCAACTTAGATACCTCATTTTTGAATACAGTTGATACTTGCGTTGCTGAACTTGCAGTGGAGGTTTTCGTTGGATTAGCTTGAGTATTTTGAAAAGTTGAAAGACACATAGACTCCATTTTACTAGACAGATTGGGAGAATTATAAGAATGTTGAGCAACATAAGTACTCGAACTCCTGCAAACCGTCTTGATGTGTCCAACTTTACCACATTTATAGCACTTAGCACTCCGAAAACGGCAAGTGCTTCGTAGATGTAACTTTCCACAGGATAAACACGGTTTAATGTTTTTGATCTCTCGCTGCATTCTATTACCTGTGGACGGCAGTTTGGATTTCTTTCCATGAACACTTGTATTTTCGACTTTAGACAGCATGACATCAGATACTGACGTAGTGGGAGCAGAGTATTCATTATGGACATCTTCATATGTAATACATAAATCTTTAGCAGTTTGAAACGTACAAGAAGGAATCTGAATTAACTCTTTCTCTAATTTAGGAATGTTGATTCCAGCAATTAGACGACCACGTAGTTGTGTATGCAGCTGATCTCCAAAATTACACTTTGAGGCTTGAATTTGGAGTTGTAGTATAAAGTCTCTTATCTTCTGATTGGGAGAACGTACCAGTTTGTTGAACTGAGCCCTCTCTCTGGTCTCAAAAGTAGTTACATGGAAGTGATCTATAAGAAGTTCACGGAGCTTAGCATATGGCATAGAAATGGGTTTATCTGGAAACGCCAGATTCTTCACCAGGCTATATGCATCAAGACCAATAGCGGTGATGAAATGAGCAGGTATTTTATCATCCCGAACATTCTTGGAAATGCACCACGCATCGAAGCATTCCAAATAATCAGCAATCTCCCGCGGAGAACCATTAAGAGGAAATTTTCCCAGGTTACTTAGCTCCATCGCGACGCCAATTTGTAGTAATTTATTGCACTTGAAATATTAATATACCGGGATGACGGAATTGTAGGAATCTAATCAAAACCCAGAGAGGGCAGCAATCAGTAATTTGTATTTAGCGGAATTAGAATGCAATTCATATAAGAAACATATCAACAGTCAACAGTAAGTATTTAAACAATGCAAGAACTACAGTTTTAGCAGAATAAAATGGTACCATCTTTTATTTCGTTGCCTTCTCGTCAGCTGCTTACATGGCAAAGACATTATTAAATATATCTACAACAACAATTTTAACATACTTGCACAGAGTTCAGTTTAAACAAAAAATCAATCGATCAATATACGCATACACTAAAAATATATACATATATAAATATGCAATATTAACCACTATTCCGAACAATAATAATCAAACACAATGGAAACTTTTAGCATTTCACATTCGGAGGAAAGAGAGGTGAAATTATCCAGTTACCAGGGCAAAGAAAGGCTGATAACCGCTTCTTTCTGGACGCATAAATCAGGTTTCATGCGCTTGATGGAAATGGCTTCAGCAAACTTAAGGAGAATGGAGCTATTTTGCTTATTGATAATTTTGAACGACTTTTCAACGTCCACCTCATGACCCGTGTCGAGAAGATGCCTGGTGATGGCACTATTTAAAGCATTTGTTCCCTTTAGACGTAAGCTTTTTGGTACATGTTCGGAAAATCGTAGATATGCCCTTCTTTCTGTCCTTCCAATGTAACTGCTCCCGCAGATACATGTAAATTTGTATACACAGTTGGAGGTAACATGAGAAGGATATCTATCGATTTTCGATTGCACCAAAGAGTAAGTATTTAAACAATACAGAGATAGAAATTGTCAATCACCACAAATTCTCAACAGACATCCAGTTCATCAAAGGAGATTCCAATATCGTAGCCGATTCTTTGTCTCGATGTGACGTTAATCACCTATCTTCGATAGATATTAGCTTAGACAATATTGCCAAGCTGCAGAAAAATGACGCCGAACTCCATACTTGTAGACGAAACTCCTCCCTACAGTTGCAGGATGTACCTATTCCCCTGTCTGATACAACTATCGTCTGCGACGTTTCAACGGGCGTTCATAGACCTTTTGTTCCACTAAGTTGTCGAAAACCTTTGTTTGAACATCTACATTCATTGTCTCATCCTGGAGTGCGTGCTACGGTCAAGTTAATCAGCGAGCGTTTTGTTTGGCCCAAGATGAACTCCGATATTCGGAAATGGGCCCGCCAATGCTTGCAATGTCAAAGATCCAAGGTACATCATCATACCGTCACACCTCCAAAACAGTTCAATTTACCGGATAAACGATTTCAACACGTTCATATAGATATTATTGGACCATTACCGCCATCCAGAGGATTTACTCATATACTTACTGCGATTGATCGATTTACCCGATGGGCTATTGCTTGTCCACTCAACGATATATCTGCAGAAAATATCGCTTTGGTTTTCTTAGATCGTTGGGTGTCAAACTACGGAGTACCCACAACTATTACAACAGACCGAGGAGCTCAATTTCAATCAACTCTGTTTCGAGAGTTTACGAGACTCCTTGGAGTGAACCATATCTCCACTACAGCTTATCATCCTGCAGCGAATGGTCTGGTGGAACGTTTCCATCGACAACTGAAAAGCTCGCTTATGGCACAAGCTGACTCATCTAAGTGGAGTGAACACCTACCATTAGTTCTTCTCAGTATCCGATCAACTGTAAAAGAAGATTTGGGATGTACACCAGCTCAACTTGTGTATGGTACTACCCTCACATTGCCTGGTCAGTTAGTTCCGTCTAATGATTCAACTGAAGTAAATATCTCCGACTTCACCAACCGCCTTACCCAGCAGATGCTTCAGCTTCGACCAGTAGCCCCTCGCCAATCACTTCAGAAAGCTCAAGTTAATAAGAATCTACTCACTAGCAAATTTGTATTTGTTCGCGTCGATGCCATTAGAAAAGGTTTACAGCATCCATATGAAGGTCCTTTTCTAGTACTTAAACGCACCGATAAATACTTCACGCTGAACAAACATGGTAAACCGGAGACTGTTTCTATCGACCGTCTTAAACCAGCGTACACCGACAGCGAATATGAAACACTAGCAACGCCGACACCAATGAACAATCAGAAAGTCAATTCAACTCCAACTCTCCCGCTCTTCACACTTCCCCCTGTACAGACACGCAGTGGGCGGCAGATCTGTAAACCTGCCCGCTATGTTCATTTCATTGACTGACATAAACGTTAACCTCATTTAGACATTCTTCTCATTACTATTGTTGTCGAGATTCATTTCATTATAACCATTAATATTTATTAGTATTATTATTTGCTGTTCGTCAACTGTACTGCAAGCACACGCATTCACCAAGTATATGTATATATCTATTTATATATGAATTTCACAAATGTTAACGAACATGTCATGGTTTATTATGTACATAAATTTTTTATTTAAAATTATAACAAGTTTTGATTTTTTTTAAATTCCTGTATGTGCTTGTATGTGCTAAACTTTATACGACACGGATGCATGCCATACATCCTGATCTAACTTTGTATCCTTATTGTTGTTATTGTTATTTTTTGTTATCCTTATTGTTGACATTGTCCCTTATTTATATTGCTTATATTCATGTAATCGTCCACGAGGACAGTACTGATGGTCCTCCGGACCTCTAAGAGGGGGAGCCCTGTGGAGTCCTCAAAAATAAACTTATCCAAATTTTACTACTATGTAAGAAATGAACATATTGTACATCACTTTGTTTTAACCATAAACTCTGTACTTTGAACTTTACCTCGGGTTTTGAATAAATATATAGTTCTGCCTTCGACTCTCCGTCTTCTCCACCATCTCAACTGCCGTCGATCAATTTTAATCACCTGCTTTCTATCTCAAATTTTTGCAGGAGCACCGTAGTTCTTCCTACGTACTTTGGTCGACCTCCGGCAACGTCAACATTGGAGAATTAGTACTGGAGCAGTCTTCCCGCAGCACCTGGAGTCTATTACGTTTATTGTGGACTTTGGATCTTTGTAAACCCAAGTAACCAAACTTTAATACATTCTTCCCGTAACTAAACTGATTTGGTACTTTATTTTCTATTTGAATTTGGGTAACTAAGCTAACAGAGTAAAAGGTCCACCACACTTGTACCAAAAATACAGTTGGGAATCAAGCTGCAACCAAAACAAAATAATATTCAATAAGAAGTGGACTAATGAAACTACAGAACAAAGAGAACACTTACTTCGTGTTAACAAAACCTGGTGTAAACGAAGTTTTCCTAGGTGCGAAAAAATGGATGGTGACGGATGAACTGTACGTGTATCACAGCACTGTAACAAAGTCTGAAGTTCAAGCATGTATGGACCCTTGACAGAATTGGCTCTCTACTCCCCATCAAACGCTAGCCGAGAAAGGTAACTATTTTGGTATTAACTACATCCCCGTAATTACTGTTTTCTAGAAGCCAAGAATACTTTGTCGGTTATACTACGAATGGACAGATCAGATATCCTCGAGGAGACCTTGCCCTAACCAATACCAAACGTCGACGGTAGATTCTTCTTATTGTCTAATGACCTAATACAGAGTGGAGACAGGATTACGCCTCGTACGTTTATGACCCCGCTGAACTAGAAGCAGTGTAGACAATGAAAGTGTGTGTGTCATTTAAGTACCCTAACGCCGATATCATAGAAACTCCGATGTCACCAATATTCAGGTAGCGCACGCACTTATTTTTTTGTTAATTCTGGCTTGATCTTCCTTTAGATCTACACATTTAGTTTTATACCGAAGTAAACCTGTCAGCCATTGCATTACAGCCTCTGAGTAAGGGATGAATAGTCGATAATATCGTATCAGGCAAATGATTTCCGAAGGTGTTGCACGGTTTATAGCTCCACAGGGTTCACTAACCGGAATTCAGACACCCTTTTGGTCGATGGCACGACCACAAAAGTCAAGTATTTCAACTTTTACTCGACATTTGGGAATACTCATGGCAATAGCATTTTGACGGAACTTATGGAATGCCAGTTCAAAGTGTTGAATAATAAAAGCAGTAGGCTGGGAATTTATCTATTCAAGTTGAATGCACTGCTTTACTTTTTATAAAGCAAATGTTCTCATTTCGTCTTAGGTTGTGGCTCATGAGATGGAGGGATTTCTGTAGAAACACACTCAGAGATCCTGCAGAAATACATATATGTACAGATATGAAGAAACTTCCGGAAGGCAGTGTCTAAATATGAATTCTCTTTCAATGTAAGTACATTTGAGAAAAATATGTAATATATTACACCAAACAGCAGTATGCATACCATTACCTCCTCCGTTTTAACCACATTTTCAGTGTGACTTATTGCTTCAAATTATTTAACATGATCTGTTCTTATAATCGCTCAGAAAAGCAGACGTGTACATAATTGTGACACACACCGATTGTTCCTCAGCGTAAGACAAGATTTTGAAACGACAGAAGACAAGAGTCAGACAACAGACTGTTTGTTGAGAAAATCAAGAGATATTTACAGATTTGTATGTAAATTACTGTCAGCGGAGAAGGAACCTCTTCCAAATGGTTGTTTCTTGCTCAAGGTTATTATGTACTTCTTGTGACTGTCTCTCAGAAAATTACGCCATGTATCTGCGAATCATATTTGCACTGTGATTAATTGGTGAGTTCCTCAGGGTTAAGCTTCGTTATTGTTTTTCTCATGCCCTCGATTCGGGACGTGACACTGACGTGAATTGCTGTCTACGATTTTTTGCTTGTTAGCAGCCAGCTTTCACTATAGTTTTACCTCCTGTCTAATGCTTAACTTTTGGTTATGAAATAAATCATAAAGGTTTCCTCTAATATCATTATGAAATCATTTACTTTACATTGTTAATACTTAATGCTTGTCCCTGCTGCCTTCGCACAGTTCTCACCTATCGTCGTTTTGTGTAATGACACCACGACAGTAATGTTATCTTCTTAATTATAGCGGCTCAAAATACATTTTTAAAAACCATATAAATAACACCTTGTAAGCATTCTGTATGTTCTTCATGAGTGCAGATTACGTATTCTGAATGTTTTCCACCACAAAATTCATTTGTTAACTTAGATTTACCGTTAGCATCATATCATCAGAATATCATGAATACTTATAAATGCGAACTTGATGGATCTTCTAACTTCAGATTTCGCACCACAATCTTTCGTATGTTTTCACATTTCACAAACCGCGAATTCTTATAATCTGTATACTTATTTCCGGAGTTCGGTCACTTTATATCGGCATTTATCTAATAGTTGCATAAAAGTTGGAGTCTGATGGATTAAATTAATAAACATTCAGGGTATTGAAAATCCCTCATGTGATGTGAATTACCGACACATCAGTCAAAGCTGCACAGTTATTTAGAGTCTTTATGGATAATGTTAATTGCCGACAAAGTTGAGAGCCTACTGTCAGTCAGAAACAAAAAGAAATCAGAATGCATCAGAAATAACAATATGCAGAGAATAATCTTACGTGGTTGAGGAAGTGTACAACTAATTATTTAAGTGAATAATAGTTATTTAGAAACAAGTGATAGGAAATAAAGGCACAAACAAATGATTGCGAGTCACAAAAGAATACGCAGAATTTACCACACAACAAATCAATGAAATAGGGCCATGACAGTACAAGGTAGATGAAACATTCCTGGACAGATAAATTTACAGTTTGTTTTATTCATCACAAAATAAAAATTATTGGTCATTATTTCGCATTTCTTTTGCAACCACAGCACAACTGTAACAACAGAAGACAAGGGCCAGGAAACAGATCGTTTATTTAGAAAATCAACACATATTTGTAGATTTTCATATACATTATTATAGATTATTTTAAGCAAAGAGACACAGTCTTCTGATTGGTGGTTTCTCGCTGAACGTTAATCTTTCATCCCTTTGTGGCTGTTTCTTGAAATTCAGATTATTTATCTGGTAATCTGGTGAAGTCAGTGCTACTATACGGATCAGAGACTTGCGAGTCATAAAGAGCATCTCAAACAAACTTCAAACCTTCATTAACAACTGTCTCCGCTCAATACTCAAGATCAGATGGCCAGAAAAGATCAGCAACAGGGATCTCTGGGAGCGAACCAATCAGGAACCGATTGTTAAACAAATAGGCAGAAAGAAATGGAGATGGATTGGCCATACGCTGAGGAAACCATCAAGTGACATCACTAGACAAGCCCTCGAGTGGAACCCGAAAGGGAGACGGCGAGTTGGTCGTCCAAGGGTGACTTGGAGGAGGTCATGTGAAGAGGAGATGAAAGCATGTGGGCAGACCTGGAGCAGGGTGAAAAAGTTGTCAAAAAACAGAAGTCAATGGAGGTGCGCAGCTGAAGCCCTATGTTCCTCTAGGAACTAAAGGATACAATAATAATAATAATAATAATAATAATAATAATATCTGGTAATTGGATCCGCCTACGCAAAGCCTGCTGTGATTGATTGTTGAGTCAGCCTTTGTTCTTATTTTTCTCATGGCCAATATTGGGAACGTAAATTACTGTCTACTTATTTTGGCTAGCAGCCAGCTCTCACCACACAACTACTACGTGACCAGCAACAAAAATATGCCCCAGAGATCATTTAAAACACTAAAATGGAAGAACATATTGATAACTAAATAATGTTTAAATATCACTGCAGAGAACATGTCACTAAGTGCTTCTTCAATTACAGTAAAAATCGGAATAAGCTTAATCTGAATAAAAATCCAGTGTCCTAATGTGAACTATTCTTTCTAATCACGTAATACTAACTGTTGTCTAGTATGCAAGCTGGGTTGCCATATCAAAAAGTCTCCACTGGTTAAAAATTTGAATGAAAAACAAATGGCATCCCAAACACAATAAAAGTTACTAACATTATTATCACTGTACTAACCAATACCATTCATCGTTACCAATTTAGTCATCGTTCAGATATAAAAAGGTTCCCCTAACTCCATCACTGTAGGACCTCTTTCAGAAAGAAGTTTTAAGCCAGTGTATGCCTTATGGGTTTTGAGAATACAAAGGATGTAGAAGAACACGTAAGGTATGGTGATATGAAGGTACCAATATGACAGCTTACACTCTCCTTGTCAGCCAACTCTCAGAAACTGTCAATGTCCAGCTGTTACAACGCTCGACCTCACGCTGTCCTTGGAAGAATTCCAGAAACAATTTGTAATAATCAACGCGAAAATACCAGAACACAGATTGACGACTCGAGAATCCTTTATTCTTAACGCCAATATGTAACCAACAATAAGGTTATTATACACAGGGTCTAAGAATAAATGTTATAACAATAAATCACGATAATACTTCTGATAGTTTTTCTCTGTCTTCCAATGAACAGCGAACGATGAGACGATGACTGCTGGATTGATGACTCCCGCGAAAAATATGGAGGAGTCGGGTTTGAGCAAACAACCATGAATTGATCGTTCAATCTTCAACTACATCGACACCCCTCCCAAGTATTCTCAGAGGACCGTGAAATAAAACCTCCCGAAAGTATTAGCCCATAAATTTCAAAGCGGGTGGAAGATACATGTTTAAGTACCTTAAAACCTTGGCAAACTCGACTTTCCGCTCACGGTCTTTAATCGGCCAAGGTAGCACATCACGTCTCAACACATCACAACTTATCCGGAAATATACTTGATATTTTGAACGACTAAATTATTGTTCTGCTTCAGCATTCTAACTGTTCTTTGGTCGGATCGAATAAAAATATTTGATGGAAAGGAGGGGACCTTTAGAGAATTACATGCGTTTACCATCATATCATCATGTCCTACGTTCATGCCAACATCCTTCACCTTCTAAAGAACACTTAGAAAGCCAGAACAAAATAACAATTTGATCGTTTAGAATGCAAAATACATTTCGGGATTAGTCATCTACAGATGAAGGATAATCTACAGACATTTTTTCGTATACAGAATGCTTTAGTGCATTCAAAAATATTTAAAAAAAGGGTCAATTAAGAAACGGTACATGGATTTATTGGATAGAAAAGGAAAGATTATTATCAGTTAACATGTACACTCTCAGTTGAAACATTAACAATTGTAACAAAAAAATATCATACAGAAAAATATGTTACACATATGATAAATTACACGAGTCTTTTCTAGATATATATCAACTCGTCGAGTTCTGTATATGGCCAAGTTTAGTTAATTCGCATCTAAACAACAAAAAAAGCAACGTCAGTATATATAAAACTACTTTATTCCTCTAAAATGCAATAAAATTACACATGAACGTAAGAAACATGAGAGATTATTGTGGTTACTGTGTATCTTTTCAACATTAAAAGATCATTCTATAATTTTGGATGCGTATAAATGTTAAGTAGTTCATCTCAGTTGTTCTACACATACCCTAGACTTAGACCTAAGGCGGTCAGATCCCCTCCCTTCCATCGAAGCATAATAAAAGTGTTAATACTTCTTAGAATAGTCTTCGTATAATAAATGTAAGTTATATTAACGAAAACGTTCAGAAGTCAGTAATTGGGTAGTGGTAAACGTTTGCAATTTAGTTACTTAGCTGAAGGATACAATATATATATATATATATATATATATTTGTAGACTATATTCAGATACCTGATAATGGGAACGGGTAGCAGGAATTGAAAACTGATCGATTACTAGTGGTCTGAATAATTTAGCAAAGTTTCCAGGTTCATTGACAAGTCGCACAGATGTGTATCTTTTAAGGGGATTATGAATTTCATCACTGTCATGAATACAATCTTAAGATAAGTCTCAAGTCACATGAAACCCAGATTGATGATTTTTCACCGATTAACATTTGAGATGAAAGTATATTTCGGTTGACAAGACACTATAATACTTATAAGAAATCCACATCCCTTACTATACTAGTCTTCATTATAGAAGATTCGTCGTTCAGGTGTAATTGCGTTCTCTGAGCTAGTTGGTTTAATTGCGAAGCTTTTATTGCTCTTGTGAACGACGTCTTTAGCCTAGACTAGACGACTTTAGTATAAAATGGATTTATTTGAATTCTTCACGAATGATACAATTGTATCTCCCGACTATCTTCAACATGATTAATTGTTAATTTGCATCAACATTGGTCGTTTCTGCACACTCAGAATACACATAGCTTACAAACCCAACACAATCACTTCATTCTCAATACTATGGAAATCAAAAAACTCAACAGAGAAAAAAGGGAGACTACAGGATTTCATCATGAGCTGACATTGGAAAACCTGGGAAAACTTGCCCTATTCAGGTAGGTAGTAACCTGGGGTTTTAGTGAGAAGTCGTGAACAGTAGGGTGCAGCAGGTCGAGTGTGAGGATAAATACTCGCCGAAGACATTGTCTAGGGGTCGCGCTATGTCGTGAACTGGCAGAGGTTAGAATTCATGGGCCATTGGATTGGATCCCAGTGGCTTAATGGTATACGAGCTCGCCTTGTGACCAGAAGGTCCTGGGTTCGAATCCCGGTGGGTGCGTACTGTGAAGAGTCCCAAACTAGGACGAAACAGGTGTCCAGTACTCCCAGGTTTTCCAATAGTTCTCTAACTAATGTCAGCTCATGATGAAATCCTGTAACCAATCAAATCCCTACAAACGAACACTTGAAAAAAGAGTAAATCTACACCATCTAAAAAATAAATCGCATGCGGTGTGATATAAACACCACATTGGTCAAAGTGAGTGTCCCCTTCAATTTCAAACACAAGAACACAAACTAGCTGTTAAAAGGCAAGACATGTATTTTTTTATACCAATGTATGTATACATGTATGGACACCAAGTTGACTGGGAAAATGCAGAAATTTTAAACAACACAAAGACCGAAAATGCCAGCGAATACCTAAAAATACCGAGACGAATTCGCAGGTAAAACTGGTACACTGTTATAAATCGAATTTACCAACGGATAAAGAAGAACAAGTCACCTAACAAGAAAGACAAATTATGAGTTAACATAGGCTATCAATCATGATGCAAATTAACAACCAATTACAACAGAGGTTGTCAGGAGATACCATTATATCATTCATAGAGAATTCAAACTCAATGATCTCTGCAAGTAAGGACTGGCTTCAGAAGCAAATAGAATCCCCATAACCCGTAAGTGGTGAGAACAAACGACCTAGTTTCCCTGTTGCGAAACATATTATACAGACGGGAGATAAAACTGATGTTTATACATCTTTTAAACCTATCCATAGAATGTGTTTGGGCGAAGGCATAACCTAAAGTTTGTGGAAGCCCTAGCTGGTAATTAGGAAGTTTACACCACCTTTATGTGTTCAAAACAACAATTCATCATTACACTAAATCTTCCTTGGTAAACTTTGTTCTGATACCAGCCAGGATAAATGTACTATTAACTCATTTATTTGGTTTAGTGATCTTCATAGTTATTTTGACCTTCAATACGTCCTTTTAACTTTCTGACCTCTTAACTCATTATTAATTTCATATGCGTTTCTATGACAAGTCCGTGTGTGATCTGATAGTTCGAAATGTGTTGCGCAAATGCGATTCAGACAAATTACGTCTTCCTTTTTATTGCTTTGCCTAAATTCATAAAGCGAACTAATTGTTTTAAATTCAAATAAGTTCATTTCATATTAAAGTTTGTGCTGAAGATGTTGTCCAGAAGGGTAATGAAGGGTTCACAAATAAAAATAAATATAATCCAACTAAGGGAGCACAATCGCATCAAACTACTACTCTACAGTTAAACATTTTATGTCGTAGTGAAAACATCGTTTTATTGGATAAAAGGTAGTATAAAAAACTCATTATGTAATCAAACCAATGCACTCAAACTTCTATGTTAAATAATCTAAACTCAATTTGGCTGTTAGTTATCTACTTTTGCAGATGATTAGGATAAGTGACCACTAAACCTAATATGGGAACGCCTATAGATTGTAGCGAAACAACTATTCATAAAATTTCACTATGAAGAAAACCTTACCACTACACACGTAACAGTTATATTTTTATTCCCATATTACTATACAGGAGTAATACTATATGATAAAACAATAGATAGGGTGCATATAACCATGTACTAGTATACGATTATTTATGATTTCAGACAACTAACAAAGAAAACGTGATCACATACACTGACTTCACAAATGTAGAAAATTTTAGGCTCGTGAGAGCAATTATCACCATTAGAAGAACGATAGATAATTAAATTTATAACTTCAAACATAAAACTTCTAATTAATTGGTGGATGGTGACTAGCAGTGGAATCCAGAATGCGCATTTCATCCTATTTGTGACTCGTCAGCCTCGGTGGGAACATTATCACTCACTGAGAAATGCAGATACATCCAGTGACGAGTCCCAAATAGGACGAAATGCGCATCCTGGATTCCACTGCTAGTCACCATCCACCAATTAAATACTAATTGAATGCCTAGACATCGTCGAAGCATCTGCACAAGAAGCCGACATGTCAACCTGAGACCGAGCACTCCAGTCCAATCAATCGACGGTAAAATCTCAAATTCAATTAAAATGAAACTTGAATGTATCCAAAATTTAGTTTAGTTAGGAGAGTTAGTTGAATATTGTGTTGCTATTCATCACAAATTTGCAGTTCATTTGTCTAGATACATAACTTATAGCTGTTTCAGTTACAGTAGTTTGAGTAGCTAGATCATTTCACTTGACTCTGCAAAGTGAGAGAGCTAGTCACAAGTGAACAAACGAAAATCATCACCGAATTACTTCAAGAGAAAATCGCTACATAGTGTTTATGAGTTCTTTGCAAATCTAATGCATCAGAATGCAACTAAAGTAAGCTAAATATAATACAGTGTCAACTAGAAACATGGGAAAACACAATTGCAAGATGGATCATAAACTGACTTCAGTTACACAATCATCGAAAACCGGAGAGTACTGAAATGCTGTTGTGGACTCTTCAGTGGAACGCATTCCGTGACTATACACATCATGGATCGCACCAGGATACCTAGTGACTGACTAAAACATGAAGTTTTCTGGAACTACAGTGACACGTATTGACTAGCAGCGTCCATCACGTCGGATGTGACGACAAATATTCGCCAATGACATTGGCTGGCAGGGATGGTTTATTTCGCGAGTTGGCAGAAATTGGAACTCATGAGCCGTTGGGTCTCGCGTCCCGGTGGCTAAAATGGTCAACAGGATCGCATTATAACCTCATGGTCCCATGTTCGATCCCTGGCGGATGGTTACGAGTACGTACTGTTGAGGTGTCCTAAACAAGGCCACAATTTCTATCCAGTACTCCCTGGTTTTTGATGATTCTCTAAATGATGTCGACCCATGGTCTATTCAATCAAACGCTGAAACGAACACAATTTCAAAAAAAGTTTCATGTAAACAGAAACAGTATGAATAAATAGTAAATACTAGATTATCGATTTCGCCTACCTTAAATATTCAGTGAATTCATCGTCTAGTTCAACTTCACAGTCCCATTTATCATCCCAAACATACAGATCAGCGGTCTCCTCCTCAGAAGTTGACCAGGCTAATTTTTATGACGGGTACAAAATAAATTCAAAAGTAGGAATGAATATCAAATAATGAATAAGGTTCGACTTTTATCTAAATATATTTTTACAACAGCATAATATCACACAAAACATTGAAAAAACAATCATATATGGATATTTTCCTCGAGTTTTAAAGGCTACAAAGGCCTTTAAAGTGGACATCTGATTGAAAGCACTTCAACAGGGAGGAAGTTCGGACCAAAGAAATAACATTACGTTCATAGAAAACAGAACGCCAAACACAGAAAATGACAAATTCCCTTCCTTACACCTTTTTCACATATCTAGGCAGTATAGTTTCCACTATCGAGGCGTAGATGTTTATGTCAAAGGTAGGAGCTGAAAAGCAAGATAGACCTTGATTAGTTTGAAATCACTGTGGAAACCTTCTGCACTCAACATTGCGAGCAATATCCAAATTTTCAGAACTAATATCAAGTCAGTCAGTGTTTCTTTACTGTTCACAGGCGTCGATCACGTATCACGGAGAAACGTTTCCAACAGGATGCAGGCTTTCATCAACAGTTGGCAACTTCGCTGGCTCGATGCTGAAGATTGGATGGCCAAGCAGAAAGTAACACTGGAAACGAACTAATCAAACGCCTACAGTCTTACAAATATGCAAAAGAGAATGAGATGGATCGCATGCACGCTGAGAAGACGGCTGGGTAACATAACGCGTAAGGCAGGCCCTCAGATGGAGTCCGAATGAGGAACGACGAGATGCGCACAGGTTCGAGGGTGATAAGGAAGAGATAGTGTAAGGAAATGATAGTTTGTGAGCAATTGTGGAGGCAACTGAAGAGGACGGCCGAGATCACGATGAAATGGAGTTGTGCCTCGATTGAAGCCCTCTGTTTCACTCCGGACCCAAAGGAATAATAGTATATAACATCCCTAAAACTCCAGTGATATTAAGTTATAGTGTTCATCCCGTAAACCTACTAAAACAGTGAATTATTCATTATTGTTCAAATCCTTCAGCTTGGGACTCAACAAGCACAGTATTCGATCCCTAAACCATGGATACTATATAAAAGTGTAGCTTCTTGCAAGTCACAGCAGTCTTTCCCAGTTAAAGCTAAATTACATGCTACTTTCATCATAATCACAACTCAGTTAGTTGTGTTCTCTGAGCTGGTTGGTTTAATCGCGAAGCTTTCGTGGGCGACCCCTTTGAATCGGAATTCAAGAACACAAATGAGCTATAAAAAGACATGATATATATTCCTTCATACCAATTTTTTTATTCCTTCACATTCTCAGTGGAACATAGGGTTTCAGGCTACAGTCTTGGAGCTTCTGTAGCAGAGATGACTATTTTTACAGAATGGGATAGCTAGCTTCATGCCCAAACCTTCCCCCTTTGGCAGTTCTAATACTGGATTGGCGAGGTAAAGGAGTACATCGGCCGGGGATCGAACTCCGGACCATGTGTATGGTCGGCGAGCGTCCTAGCCACCAACCAATAAAAAGTAAATCACGTGACGAGGAAGTTCAGAATCCAAGTCAATGAAAAATGATGAACACAGATGTAAATCGACTACGAAGATGGTTGCCAAGAGGCACAGTTCTATCATTCATGGAGAATTTAAATCAGTTCATTTTATGCTAAAACTTGCGCTGAAGATGTTGTCTAGAAGGACGACGAAGGTTTCACAATGAAACCAACCACCTCAGGGAACACAACCAATTACAAATCATCCACCTGAGCTACGAATCTTCTCTATTATATTCACAAGTCATTATTACATTTACTACGACAATTTCCGTACCAGACAACACTCTGAAGAAGAAATGTTTATAAACGTACAGTGTTTAAAACCATCGAATTATTATTTTGTTTTCATAAGTTTTGTAAATTTTCCACATCACAAAGAAGTGGCTATTTTCCATGCACAAAACATAAAAACTTGATAAAACAAAGTGTAGAAAAAGTGATTAAAAATAAGCATTGCAAATTTAAATATAGATTTCGTCACCAACCAATATCAGCTAGAGTATCATTGAAAAGTAAGGAGAACTGGACATCTGTTACGTACTAGTTCTAGACTCTTCATTAGTGCACGCAAATGTACAGTTAGTCACTGAGAAGGGTGGGGTTGGAATTCAATTACTCGTTAATTCTAACTCTTGTTAGCTCACAACATACTATCGATAACCATCTGCATCACAACCGACATGATAGAACCCAACAGCTTCAACTTCTCATCAGAACTCCAGGACATCTATTCCGTAACCAAAAACAAGCAATCAACAAGTTTTCCATTAACCGGTATCGCTTCATGAAGAAATCTATATTCAAAAACCCAAAATATGAACCAGTTTAAGAATCAACACGTATTAATTCAATCTATTTTGCATACATTCTTTTTCGAATTCTTCAAATTCTTTATCATCCTTCAAAATACCGATAGCCTCTTCAACTCGTTGTGCACTCTGCGAAGACTGACGATTATCACCCGACTAAATTCAACATTAAATTTGGAAAGATAAAACGAAATAAAATCATAATTAAACAAGTAAATAAAACCAATGATAAAATTAAAATATATACACACCAACAGTTTCAAATGAAAACCTAATGTTATAAATGGTTAAATTTTTGACATTCATCGATGAATTGATTACTACCATCTGAGTAAAGTATTGGAAAAATATATGAAAGTGAAGCTACTCTACAACCTAGAGCAGCTAACGGTACATTACTACATTATTTATGAATTACAGTAAAACAAAGATATCCAAATACTATTTCATTACCAAAAGTCCTGTGTTTGAACAGCTTAGTACTAAGACTTTTACTATGAGTACTATTTGAAAGTTAATTAAAGCTTTTAAACATATAGTCTGATAAGTTCCTGATTGAGATGAAAATGCACCGACCAGCTTCAATACTCTTTGGGTAACGAACCAACTTACTGAAGTCTGAAACATGTGATATTTCATATCAAGCAAGCACTATTTGACTCTGTTAGACAAGAACTATTAAAAAGTTTAAGACTAATGAATAACTGGTTGAAGAATTTCATCATGCACTGAGGACAGTTATCCGTCGAAGACGTTGCTGAGTGGTTGCGCTATGTCGTGAATCAGCAGAAGTTAGAATTCATCGGCTGGCCGATGGATTCGGTCCCAGTGGCTTAATCGTCTATGAGCTCACCTTGTAACCAAGACGACCCGGCTTCGAACCCCGGTTGGCGGCACTGATGAGGAGTTCCAAACTGGGACGAAACAGCTAGATGTGCAGTACTCCCTGACTGCTTTTCCAGTGGTTCTTTAACCGATGTCAGCTCATAATGAAATCCTCCAACCAATCAAACAAAATTCATACTTGATAATGAATACTTGTTTAAACACTGGATTAATAATTACCCGATACTATCCACTATTGCTGGTACCTCATTTCCTTGAGAAACAAACCGGTAAACACAACAAAATGCACATTACAGAGCCCATTATGTACACACACACAATGACGGTGCTTATATACTTCAATAACCTGAATTATATACATGCCCTTTCTAAAAGAGCATATTTCATTGAAACTGCTATCCTAGTTCAATGATTTTGTGGACGTATCAGGAAATGATTGTTCCTCGACTTATTTGTAGAATCTATATATCAATATTGCACATCATACCACAAACATGACATTCTAATTCAAGCCTATTACGAATTCAATATTAATTAGTATATTGGATATCTCATACGGTGAGGAAATAGTATTATTTATATTTATTCTTCATAATCAGATCAACTGTAAATACACGAATTCGAAACTCGATTTCTAAATTTCTCTTTCTTCCTTCCCATTTTGTCGTTGGGGGCAACAGAATTTCCTAAATGTCCGGGATAAGTTTTGAATTATTCATACTGCCCATATTTTTAGTTGATTCAATATGAATAAAACTTCCATTGTCAGCATCATCTTCCATCTTGTTATATTATATTTTAAGACTGTCATCTTATCCCATCTGACTGTGTTGTTGTGTAGCTGCCTTTAGTGCTACAGCTGAGAGCTATTCTCTGGATTTCTTATCGACATCGATTAGATTAACGGAGCTCAAAAACATAGGGAAATTCAGATAAGTTGATCCTGGTAAGATAATAGATCTAGAGAATAGTTCAGCTATAGCACTGAGTCAAGTTACACACAACTACACAATTGCATGGCATAAGATGACAGTCTTGAAATATAATATAAAAAGATAGAAAGGTAATACTGATAATGGAAACTCTATTCATTGAATCAACGAAGAATAAGTACAATAGGAATGATTCAACGCTATGCAGATATCATCTGTCCCGTCTTTCTTTTTGTATGTATGGTGTATGAAACTTGAATATCTAACACAATGTTTATTAACAGTTTCTTGTAAGCAGAGGAGGTAAGTCAGTTGATGAAGTTGTGGGCGTGCGTTTTGTTAGGCGTGCTGAGACACTCACTGATCTCCATGACAACCGAAATTAGTACGGATTTAACGGTTGGTTTGTCTGATTCAGACTAAAAAGCATGAATGAATCGACTTCGTGAAATGAATTCTTTGTTATGTATTCAGTCAGTTTTATACATCTTCTCCGCTAAGTCCGAAATCTTCATACTTTGCTATTCATGAATGAAGTGTCTAAGGATTTCTATGTTTTCATTTTTTTATTCAGTGAAGTGTTCACGAATGACAATGGTAGTATTAAAGAGTTTACAGTGATTCTTTCAAAAACAAAACCGACAACTACTCAAAATGACACTTGCTGAAATACGACAGATGAACAGCACTACTTTCGGAAATCTTACTAAAGTTTATTTTTTGTTTCTCTTTTTACCGGTTTTATTACCGGCGAAGTGAGGTTCAGCAGTGCGTTGGCGAGGGATCGAACCCTGGAACACGTGTGTGGTTGACAAGCGTTCTACAGTGCTGCCGACGCCATCAAAATTCATATTTGAATTTAATTATGTTGGCAGATCTTAGCTAGTGTACTGGACTGAAGAAGTTATTCAGTTAAGCTGAGAAGTTAATAGAAGAAGACAAACTTCATTATATACACAATCCACTTAGAGTACTAAGGCAACAAGAAAAAAAAGAAGTCGAGTTAACAATACAGATATATTTAAAAATTAAAATTATACATCTGAATATATTTAACAAGGTCATATATATGTATATACATTGATATTTCTGAGGAGATGAATTCACAGACCAAGTCGACCACCTGGACGTTTAGAGATTAAGGGCGTACCAGGTGTTCGCATTCCCGGTGTAACAATTGGTTGCCTGTAATGAAGAAATAAGCACAATTATCATTATTATTAATATCTATGAGATTAATACAGTGGAAAGCCACACAATTTCACACTTGACCAAGTATTTTATCATTCATATATCCTGCATATTGACTGAGCATTACACAACGCGTTTCTACATAATAAAGTGACCTTTGTTTATGCTAGTATATATGCTTGATTTCAGAATTACTGTAACAGAATATGCTAGAAGAGATGTAGAATAAAGGAAGACAATGAACCTGACTAGTTCATTATGACGAGTGATTTCCCATATCATTTGATGGAGGGTGGCTAGGAGTGAAATCTAGTTTGCACCTTGCGTCACTCACTGGGGTCTGCAGGTATATCCAGCTGTCGAGTCCTAAGTTAGATAAAATGTGAATCTTGGATTTCACTGCTGATAACCACCGACAAATAAAATCATGTCAATCGTCAGACATCGCCAAAGTGCCTGGTACTAGGAGGCAACATATCAACCAGAGACCGAAAACATTTCAGTTCAGGGAGAAACATAAAATTAACTCAGACAAATTCCTATTATCATTAGGCATATTTCTTAAAAAGTAGTTACAATATACATTCCAGCGAATAAATTCAACGCGGAAATTTTTTACATTTTTCAAATATTAAGCACAGAGTTTATACTGATTGTTTGAAGGCTGGAATAACAAGCTTTGATGCGTGCAAAAGGGTTTAAACTTTTGATGATATTAGATAGTTGGAGGCAATCGGCAGGAAGCAGGGTTTTAACTTTTAACCAACTGGTTGAAAATTTTCTAAGAGGAAAGACGACTCACATCTCGAGAACAGCTACTTATTTAACTTTGGGTTATCTATTACTACAGCACTTGAACTGCTCATCATTAGACAGTATTATTACAGATAATTACAAGTGCGACAAACTCATTCAGCTCATAGGTACTCCATAATGCAACTACTTACGCCTAAGAGAAGTTATAAGAAGCTACCATAACAAGCAGTACACAGAATTAAACGTAACGTCCTTAGAGATAGTGAGTAGGCACGAACCATACATGCCCACTTAGGTATACTCATGAGTAATGATGCAACAAGCGTGTGCGTCTGTGGAACAGTGGTTAGGACTCTCACCGACCAAGCACGTGCTCCGAAGTTCGATCCCCTGCCGACGCACACCTGATATTTATGGTCGGCCTGCAAATTTTGGGCTACCGATATCCACGCTGAAAAACTCTATACTTGTACCAAAAGTACAGTGTGGAATCAAGCTGTAAATCAATCTATCAATCAAACATTCGATATGGTAAGGTAGCTGAGACTGCAGATGTCGCTTGCTCTCCAGATTTTAAAAATGAACCTTCCTCAATATAGCAAGAAGATAGGAGTTAATCTAGAGTTTGAGCGAATTCCATTTACTTTGGGTTCCTGCTTCTTAACTTCATAAGAAATTAGTTATAAATGTCCATTGGAATGATGGGAAAGATGAAAACATAAAAGGAAATTTGAGAGGAGTGAAGACTAGAAATTTATTACAACTGTACACTTGTCATATATTACGCGACACTTAAAATATTGATCACTTCTCTTTTGACCTAAGTAGCTCGGTGAGATGCTACGTACATAATAATCCCATGGATAATCAAATAAGTCACATTTTCATAATAATTAATTAAAGTGAACGCTATAATACAAAGCCTCAATAATGGACAATCACTTACAAACGACTTGAACCGATTGATGCAGAGAGTTCTTCACGTCGACGAGTAAGTTGTTCTTCAGCTGAACGCATTTCTTTCTCCATTTCTGCAAGTTGTTCTTCAGCTTGTCGCTTCCTTTCTAGTCGTGTAAGATTCGGATCTTTTACGCTTTAAGAATAATAATAAAACGAAACATAAAAATTACAAGGTATAAAGGTAAACAGTGTATCTCATAAGGAAAACTACAAAAGGTTTATCAGTGTGAGCTTAAATGGAATCTATTCTGTAAACGAAATGATTCTTATGGCCCTCAAATAGATATGCCTGACTAACTGACTGTTTTCAGCATACAACTTTGCACAGATACGTAGCAGTTCGAGTTGCCACACTCCCCCCACATAGCACACAAAACAAGAGGAGGGAGTAGAGAGATGTTCGAAAGAGATTCAAAAGCGAGAGAGATAATAAACAAAAACATGAGGCAACAGGAATAGTGATATGGAATTAAAAAAGAGTATTTTATTGGGCTCTATAAATTACAAAGAGTGAATGCATCTGCAATAGCCATTAAGAACAATTTTGAGGCGTATCACCAATTGTCTCCAGCCATCATTGATTTTACCATCTCGAGGAACGCAACCAGTCAGGAAGTCTACATCTCCCTACGTCGTTGCCTTAAACTAACTGTTGTGGATTTCATTGACTCATGAAGCCATGTTTTGGTTGGACCACCACTAGCTTTCTCTTTTCCAACATGATCCATCCTATGTCAGTCAAATACTGCCCGTCTGTCGACGGAGACGATGGCTAGTCATGCATGCGTAACACATGTCCTTACCATCTCAATCGATGTAACTTCACAGACTCGTCTAATAAATTTCCCTCCCTACCTACAACTCGACCGAAGCCCCACTTCTATATTACTCACCTTAATATACCACCTAACATGGGAGACAGAACGCAGACACTTATGATCAAAGACGTCTAGCCCCCTCATGCCTTCCACTTTCAATAGCCAGGTCTCACAGCCATAAGGGAAGACGGAGCAAACTGCTGAGCAGCACACACATCCTTTGCTCGACACCCAACCGGATATGATCTCTACTAAGCTAGAGACTGAGTAAACTGGTACATGTGAAATGCGCCTTCTGTATCCGTACTGAGATTTCATAAGCGATCAACCCGCTGTCTTTGGCTGATGCAACTTCCCAAATAAGTGAAGTGGTCAACACGCTGTACTACTTCAGTCCCTATCCAGTCCTGTAGCATCATCTCACATTTGGCGGGAACAAATTGCATGGCAAACATTCTCGGATTGCAGCTAAAGGTGTTTAGAAGACTCTGTATTATGTCAGCTTCCTCACCTAGAAGGACTATATCATTAGCGTATACTACGTCAAGGAGATTATTCCCTCGTAACTAGTCAATTACTGAGTCGCTGAAGTCATTGTGAGGTGTTGTACACAGACAAATAGACGAAGTAAAGACAAACACCGGAGAGTGTCGAAGACTATATTTCAGTACAGCCTGATAACAATATTTAAAATTTTGAAGGTATAAAGAATTAAATACGTTTATTCCATTAAGAAGGCTTGTGAATCATGTTACCAAATATCTTCACCTGCTCGGTGACTGTAAACACCACAAACACTCTAGCCAAGTAATTGATGTAGATTATATCCCATATAATCAGATATGCCATAGATTACTGTGGTATGACTCGTTCTGACCACTTTAAACTCTTTTCTAATCTAATTCACAGGCTTTACGCATGTCATATACCACCTGAAATGATGAAAAATGCACAACTTTAACGCGCAACTAATCTTCTTTGCCCACAAATCTATGCTGAATCCCAGCATTATTCATTATACTGCCCTATGCTGCTGCTAACACCAATAAACGGATGTAGACATCAGTGGTTAGAAACGTATCACCTTTTCAGTATCTTTTACTTCCGATGATTACCATTCAGCATTACACAACGCAGGGCAAAGTGAAATGCTATGCATAACACCTATTGAGTAAGGGTCGACTACCAAATCTTTTGGTTAGTCAGGACAATGAACATATGACTCTACAATTGAAATTCACATGCCTAAGCCAATGAGTCACAGCTCTACTAGAAAACCAAATTAATCTTCCTATTTATCGACATAACATAGATAAAATACATTTTATGAGTTTAAAAAACAACCAACAAACTACACTGATACATACCTGTAAAACATTGGACCAACTTTAGCTAACCAATTTCCATCGACAGAAGTAACACATTGCATATATTCTTTAGTTGTCATAATCAATTCATGATAGATCACATAGTCTGGAGTATAACCCATACCATATAGAGCACTGGTTGGATGTAGATGACAAGGCATACCAGTACGCAAATTCACATATTCACCTAAACCCTAGATGTGATGACAAAAATGAAAAATATACTTTATCTATATGTAATGTCTATATATAAAGAAAATAATTTTATTACAGTTATATTATCAGTCAACATTAATATGGACTTAAACACCCTGTGCATAAGAGATGATATCACCACCCACTTGCCCAAATTGAAGTTAAAGGGGGGCGGCGGGGAACAAACCTGAACTCGGAACCTATTGGATTAAAATTGTGGGTGAATAAGTCATGTCAGTAATTACTAACATGTTTCCAGTGGAAACGCGCTTCGTTTTAGATCTTTTTTGTGGGCCGAGGTGAATATCTGTCTGTCTGTTTTCGACATAGAACTTTGCACAAATGTGCGGAAGTTCAAGTCGCCACATTCCGTGTAGCACGCGAAGCAAGAGAAGAAAGTACAAGAAAAGCATAATAGAAACAGTGAGCAGAGGTGTGAGACAAAGGAGTAATAAAGAAATACAAAACAGTTTCATTGAAGATCATAAGTCACAGGGAGTGGATGCATCTGCGCCACTGAGAACGATTTTGAGCCATGTCACCAATTGTTTCCAACCATAGATTTTTACCGTCCCGAGGACCCCAGCCTGGAAGTCTACACCTTTCTACGTGGCTTAGACCAACTGTTGTGGATTTCATTGACTGATGCCAAGTTTTTGTTTGACCGCCGCTAGCTTTTTTCCAGCCTGACCCTATATCCGCTAACATAGCTCGTCGAGGGAGGCGATGGCTTGGCATACGTAACACATGTCCTAACCATCTCAGTCTTTGTAGCTTCACGACTTCGTCGATTGATTTCCCCTGTTTACCTAGAACTCTACGCCTAACCTCCATGTTGCTCACCTTATTATGCCACTTTACACGGGAAATAGAACGCAGGCACCTATGATCAAAGACAGCTAGTCTTTTCATGTCTTCCACTCTCAGTGGCCAGGTCTCACAACCATAAAGGAGGACGGAGCGGACTGATGAGCAGTACACCCGCCCTTTGGTCGATAGTCGAACATCTCGTCTACGCCAGAGTCGGCGTAAACTAACAAATGCGAAACGAGCCCCTTGTATTCGTGCTGAGATTTCGTCAGAGATCAGCCCGTTGGGGCTGATGGTACTTCCCAAATAAGTGAAGCGGTCAACGTGCTCTACCACTTCACTTCCTATTTTTAAACTAGGCGTCGATGTAGTCCAGTCCTGTAACATCATCTTGCATTTGGCGGGAGCGAATCGCATGCCAAACATTCGTAGATTGCGGCTCAAGGTGTTTAGAAGACTCTGCATTTCGTCAGCGTCTTCGCCTAGAAGGACTATATCGTCTGCATATTCCAAGTCAACGAGATTATTCCCCGGTAGCAAGTCAATCCCTGAGTCGCTGAAGTCACCTAGGGTTAAGTCCATTAACACATCTATGATGAAGTTGAATAGAAAAGGAGATAATGGGCATCCTTGACGGACACCACTGGTCGTCATCAGTTCAGATGACAGCTCGCCGTAAGCCCTCACCTGGCTGTATGAGTACGAATAGAGTGCCTTAATCAGTGCAATATATTTTCTTGGAATTCCCTTTACAGCCAAGCATCTCCAGAGAACTTCCCGATCGACAGAGTCGAATGCTGCCTTTAGGTCAAGAAATATAATGACTGTTGGACGCCGGTAGGAATGCCTATGTTCTAGAATCTGTCGGAGGGTGAAGATATGATCAATACACCCTCTTCCTGGTCTAAAGCCTGCCTGGCTCTCTCGTGTTTGTGCTTCCCGAGCACCACTCAGTCTACGCATGATTATTGAGCCTAAGACTTTAGATACTATATTAGTCAAGCTAATCCCTCTGTGATTATCACAGGAAGACTTGTCTCCCTTCTTGTATATGGGGATAATCAGTGACTTACACCAACCCGATGGGACTTCTTCTGATTCCCAGACGCTGCCTAGTACCTCAGTTAATCCGGACAGTAAGCTGTCTCCACCGTACTTAAATACCTCTGGAGTCATTCCATCAGGTCCCGCTGCTTTGCCTAGTTTCAGATTGGTGACAGCTTTAGTAACCTCAGTTAGTGACGGAGGACCTGTATCTATATCCCATTCAGGGAGGTGTTGGATGCTCGGAAGGTTGAGCGTGGCTGTGGGCAAATTAAACTGCTCCTCATAATGCTCTTTCCAACGATCCAGTCGTCTATCCTGGAGCTAATTATAGTGCCATTTTTTTCCGAGATTGTCTCACTAATGATTTGTCTTCTCCCACCCGTTTCCCTGATGAGTCCAAAGAGTTGCCTGGTGTTGCCTATCCTCGAAGCTTTCTCCATCTCTTTGGCTTTTGTCGCCCACCACTGTTCACGGTCCTTGCGGAGACTTTTCGTAAGTTTCCTCTTGTGCAGCTTTCGCTCCTCATTGAATTCGGAGCTCGCCGGAATAAGTCTTCTAGCATCTATCAGTTCGGATGAGGCGGTGGAGATCCAGTGGTTTTTACTCACCTTTGGGTTTACCTTATTCACAGCTTTTACAGCTGTATCTATGGCTGCCTGGATATTTTTCCAAGCTTCTTCAGGGTGAGCACAGCTGTCGAACACAGATATGTGTTTAGCTAGTTCTTCCTCAAATACGGATTTAGTTTCCTGATCGAGCTGGGGACGTGATGGTTTTACCGCCAGCTGTTTCCTACGTCCGTTCAGTCGTAAGCACACCCGAGCGCGGACCAGTGCATGGTCGGTATCTACGCACGTGTTCCAGAAGGAGCGACAATCTCCTACCGACCCACGCCAACGATAGCTTATTGCTATGTGGTCTATTTGTGTCCAGCGTTGGTTTGATGAAGGGGGTCTCCAAGTCAAACAGTGTCTCTCCTTGTGTTTGAAGTTAGTGCTTACAAGAAACAAATGATTATCAGAGCAGAACTGTAGGAGACGGTCACCGTTGTCGGTTCGCTGGCACGGAGCTCCATAGGTGCCACCGACATCCTTCTCAGATTGACACAATTTCCCTACTTGAGCGTTAAAGTCACCAGCTAGAACGACTATGTCTGAGCGTTTAGCCTTTCCACCAAACTAGACAGCTTTTGGTAGAACTCATCCTTCGTTTCATCTGAACTGCAGTCAGTGGGGGCGTAGGCGGAGATTACGAAAAGGCATCGGCGAGTAGTGCAGTCCTTCCTCCTTCTTACTGATCCGTTCAGGCGGACAGCACACATTCGGCTATCTACCGGGATCCAGTCAAGCAATGTCTTTTCTGCCCTAGTACTCAAAGCTATCCCTACGCCAGCTAATCCTCGTGAACTAGCTGTGGCATCTCCTGACACCCTCAAGGTGAATTTTGCAGATTCAACCTGTTGGCCAGGTGGGGTTAGGTGAATAACCACACTTGGGTCTTGTATGCGTGTTTCTGAAACACAGCATACATCAATGGCTCGTGATGCCAGGGTCTTGGCTAGTGATGCTTGTTGTCCTATTTGGCAAAGTGTCCTAACATTAAGAGCTCCTATATGAAATTGGTGGCGCGGCTTTAAGAGGCTGTCGGTGGTGGTTTTTTGGCTTCCATCGTTTTTAGTGGACGCAGAGTGGAGAGGAAGTGGAGAGCTATCAAGTCGAGGAGTTGCATCAGTGGAAGGAAGGCAAGATGATAGAGATGAAGATGAAGACAAAGATGAGTGAGTAATAGAGAGGTTTCGTGTGCATTTCGGATTGTGAGGGCGATTGTTACTTCCCGGCTGCCCACACCGTGGAAGTTGGTTGCGTGACCGCAGAGCCCAGGGGACAACTGCTTGAGGCCGGTCACACGCGGCCTGTTTTTGTTCGTTCTTTTTTGTTTGGTGTGTCTCAGTAGCAGATTTATCACTCCCGCCCTGTGACACGGCAGCAGGAAGCGCGGTCGTTGTTAATCCGGGCCACGGCCGATCCGGCATGAAATTTTGTAATTTTGTATTGGACATGATGTTGGATTGGGTAGCTGCTTTTTGTTTAACCGCTATCCAAACAACCTGCCTGGCATGGTAGAACCTCAAGAGACATAAGTCTCAGCCAGTATAGCTTGATTAGGTCATTGCGGTGTTCAAGCCCGACCACCACGTCAAGGTAGCAGCTTTCGGTCGGGCGAGGTGAATATATGAAAATGATTCCATTATATATGTGCTAATCATTATCACACACAGAAATGCTGAATGTCAGACACTAGGAGGTATTATGGTTGCACAACTACAGTTGATAATACTTCTATGAAGCAGAGGAATCGGATATAGTGATACAATACAGTGTTACTACACAGCCTTGTATCCATACAACATTCGTAAGGATGCGCACCCCACCGGGTTATGGAAATACAGAACAAGAGTAGAACATATAGTATTATTCCCTCGTGTTCCGAGTGTACCATGAGGCTTCAGCAGCATACCTCTATTTCAACATGTTCTCTAGAATCCTTTTTAGTTGACCCTACGACTGTCCATCAACTTTCATCTTCTCCTTACACGACCTTCTCTGTGTCACACTCGGATGCCCACTGGGGTTCCCCTCGATAGCTTGATGTGTGATGTCACCCAATGGTAGCCTCGGCGTGTAACCGTTTCACCTCCATTTCTTTCAGCATATTTGCTGGGTGGTGGATTCTTGGTTGACTCATCTCCAGAGTTTCTTGTTGCTAATCCTTTCTTACCATCTGACTTTGAATATGGTGTGAAAGCAGCTGTCGGAATTGCTTTTCGTGACGCACAATCCAAACCTCTTAACCGTAATAAAAGAAGTGACATCACATGAGTATTGGATATCCTAATCTTGTTCTTAGTGTTGAGTGCAGCATATTCCCACACCGATTTCAGTGCAATGAAGGTTTATCTTGCTTTCCCGGCATTAAAGCGAGATTTCACTTTACTGGCACTACAATGAACCTCTCAGTTTTAGCAAAATATCAACACTGATTAGATATGAGGGCACAAATAACTGTCAACAAAAAGACTGATTCATTTCTCTGAAGAATAGTTACCCCCAAGCTATAAGTATTAAATGCAATAGGATTACAGAAACTGATCATTACTATCCAGATAAATCAACACAGTTAAATCACAAGCAGAAACAAATAACCAAAATGGTGTGCATTAATCAAGATGTGTCCCTTGTCACTGAATAGTCTACTCTACAAAACGCTTTATTGTTTGTAGAGACTGTAGTCTCACAGGGAACATGATCACTGAAAGGGAATCAAAATAGATACATCCACCAAGGTGAACACATGCAAGACAAAACGTGTACTATGTACTCTAATGCTAACCGCCATAAAACAAATGGAATTCACAAGACAATAAGCATGGAACCAGTTATGTTCATAAAAATTATTGACAAGCAGTGACAAATACAAACACAATAGAAATATTATCAAAATGAAAACTATTTCAAAACAGCAGTTTCTTCATAAAACTCTTCCGAAAATGGTGAAAATTCAATATAAATTATTACTAAACGGTTGGAAAAAAGAAGTCTCACCTTGATACGAGCCGCTTGATGGAAGAAGGTTGCGCATAAACACTCACGTACAACATCCCAATCACTACCGATAGAGCGTAAATTCATATTATGCTGTTCCATAATCTCTTTCATTTGTTGCCGAACTTCACGAACCTTTCGCATAGCTTTTAAATGAAGAAAGTGTTTAGCGCAGAAAGCTGACGAGTAGCCTGACTTACGCCATTGAGTGAATACATTTAGCAAAGTCAAATGATCTGATTCGGGAACTTGAAATTTTTCTCTTGCATTATCCGATTCCTCTTCACGACCTTTAGGTCTGTAAAATACACTTGGTACAGAAAGCATTGATACGATAGTTAAAATCTCCTCTGAACAATCCAAATCACAGGAAATAATCAATAATTTTGATAAAGCTGGGTCCAGAGGGAATTCAACCATTTGACGACCCAAATTTGTAAGGCCACCAGTATTGTCCAATGCGCCGAAAATCCAAAGCTGATACATTGAATTGAGTATGTTGTCCTATAAAGAAAGAAAATGTTTTGTTAAGACAGGGATTCTTCTGACTGTTTAACCAATATGAAGCACAAAGCTTTTACAGTGCACCTCAGATAGCCGTCCTGATGGACACAAAATGAGGTTTAGACTAAGAAATGATTGGAATTAAACAGCATCTAGTATGACTGGCTTTACATCAGCAGTTTAGTATCTGGATGCTTGTCAACCATGCGATTCTTGACCAAAGTATTCTTTAAGCTTGCCAAGTCGGTAGGAGAGGCTAGGTGTGAGGTAAACGACCCCACCCCGTAAAAACAATGCCATTGATTCTGAAAAAGTATGACTAGCATTTTCTATCTGATTATATGAGATAAATGTCAAGAAACTGAGAAGTAATTCTGAATAGAGCAAATAGCTACCTAGATGGTGGCTACTCAAATGTTAGGTCAGTTCATCTATATGGACCAGAAACTCGCACAGTGGATCACGAAAAGCATTCCAATAGGCTTATCAACAGCTGTCTTCACTTTGTATTGAAGTGTATCGAATGGCCAAAAACAATTAGCGATAAGAAACTCTAGCTAGGAACAAACGAACCAAGAACCTATTGGTCAGCAAAGATGTAAGAGAAAATTGAAATAGATCGGGAGTACGTTGAGGAGGCCGTCCAATAACATCGCGAGCAATACAGACCATCGCCCGAGTGGAAACTGAATAGGAAACGACGAGTAGGTTGTCGTAGAGTGATTTAGAGGAGATCATGTGGCGAGGAGATGAATGCTTATGGGCTATCATGGAGCTAGCCAGCTGAAGAGGACAGCAGAAAATGGAACACAGTGGAGATGTGTTGTTGGAGCCTTATGTTCCAATCGGAACGCAAGGGAACAATAATAATTAATAATAATAGAGCTGATTCAATTGGTCAACTCCTGAAAATACTATGACAGAGAAAACACGACAATTTTACTACTAGACTTAAAGAAGATTAAAAGATCTCGTGGTTCACCAAAGCAATAAACCATGAAACTCAACTGAGTTAGATGTATATAACATAAACTCCAGTCTTACGGCAGTTTACAATATGCGATTAACCTGAGACTTTTCTAACCAGCTATAATTATGATGTGCATGGTAGGAACACAGTATGATTTTGAAAGAAATCTAGGATTTCGTTGTAAGTTAGCCGATTATTATTCAAAATATTGTAGCACCTAGTTAACATTACAGGTAACTACTTTAAAATACCTCTGAACATTACATAAACAAAACTAATCTATCAGTAATCTAATCAAACCTTATTCCGCTAGAGTCTTTGCCGTAAAAGTAGGTTGCAGTTAAAAATAAAAGAAGCACATACCTGTGGAGGAGCATCCATGAAATGAAATCGCATTAAATCTTGCACACCGAGTGACTTTAGCAAGAGAACGACGTTAGCCAGATTAGTTCTCTGAATTTCTGGGATGGATGTGATAAGCATTTCTTCCTGATATTGACTAATTGTGTACAGTCGATAACATACTCTAAAGGAAATGTAAAAGATTTCACAATACATTAAAACATTATCGCTCTATTGAATCAAAATTTTAGAACAAATATTACATTTCAAACATCGCCAAGTTAACTAGCTTGCTAGTTTTCTTCCATTGTGGGTAAAATTTATTCTGATAAAGTATCACAGTGTTATACAGTAATATTTACTGATGAGAACAGTTTATTGCTCATAATCATATCAAGTTGATATGATCGTGACCCCAGATGAAAAGGACATCAGAAAATAGAACGAATTAGAGACGTGTTGTTCAAGCCCTATGTTCCACTTGGAACCTAAGGGAATAACAATGATGTGATTACATCTCAATATAGATTTTGTCAAGGAATGATATCAATAAGGAATGCACTAAAAAACAGCTTTCAATGCTAGTTCGGAACTCTTAAGCAGTGAACAAATACAGTTCAATGCACCATCGAACCTAGGACCTCCGAATTGAGAGGTCAGTCAGCTGACAATTCAGTTACCAGGGTTGGAATTCAATAATGACACATGAACCGCTGTCAATTCACAGTTGTCCAGCACTCCTCAATTTTTTGTAATTCTCTAAATGATTTCATGACGAAATCTACACTGGAACTAATCGAATCCCTACAAAACCCGGAATCTAAATTATAATAACGACAATGGATAAATTCTACTTCTACCATAACAAGTCTGATATTCACTGTAACCACAGTAACAATATTGTCATTAAAGGAAAAATATTCGTCGGATTGAAACAAAAAAATTCCATTCATTTTAAAGTTAGTAAGTACTTTCTCTAGCTTAATTTGTATCTCTTGTTGATTGATAATGTTGGATAGAAATTATCGATCTCTGCTGAAATGCCGGCTTTTAGTACTTCACATTAATCCTTAGGCGAAGCGTTCGATGCAACAAGTCAGTCCGACATCAGCAAATTAACCTAAAACCAAATAATAACTGATACCTGTTGTACATGAGGAGGTGGTTCTAGTGGCATCTGAAACGATGGATGCAGAGTTCCGGTCCCAGTAACAGCACAAGGTACGTGCGGTTGATGAGTTTCAAATAGCTGGGAGTGCGCATACTGGTTACTGCTGGTGGTCACCGTCAACTAGATTATTCAGTAAGTAGTTAAAAAGCAAGAACACCCACTACCAGTGAGTTAGTTCATTGTTCACTTGAACGAAAAGAAATTGCAATTGCAACGTTAAAAGCCATAATGACTTCTGTAATTGTTTTTTTTTCAAAGCATTTATCTCCTTATAAGTATTAATAAGTCAGCTGAAATAATAATTAGCTCCTTTAAATGTTAAGGTAGGTCAGATAGACAATAAGTAACAATTGTAACAATGGGAGAATATAATAATAATAATCTGCTTTATTGCAAAAAGAGTACATGGAATTAACATGGAATTCTCAACATTCGATAAGTAACAGACATTAGATTGCCATCAGTTAAAATGAAAAACGCCTTCAACTAATTTGTATACAAATTAAATTCACAAGTAGCTAACTGAATGACGCTATACTACTACACAAAGGAAACTTAACTGGTACACTTCAGCATTTACAAATATTTACTTTTACTTTAAGAAAGTAAAAGGGTTAACAACTTTAAATTTTGTGTAATCCATCAATCATCAGTGCAAATATCACAATCTAAACATGATCAACCAGCTGCATAACAAGTGGGTGGAAATAGAAATGCAGAAGAACTAAACGTAAGAAGGTTTTGAGCACATTTTGTTGTGCTTATGTGAGAAGTATCGTCTACATATGAAGGAAAAATATATCAACAAAATAAAGAAGTAGCCATGGGATCGAGAATAATAGCTGATATATTCTTGGATTTTTGAGAAGAGAATGCACTTAAACCATTCAGGTCATCAATAAAATGTTGGTAATAATGAATAAAATAAACGATGTTGAGAAACTCTCCTCACACATGAACAGTCATATCGACTCAATAAAATTCACTATAGAACTAAAGAATGAAACTGGGGAAACTGCCTATGTTAGACTGAAAAATACAAAGAGTAACAGATGGTAGCGTAAAGACGACGCTGTATAGAAAAACTATACATTCTGGAAGATTCCTTGTTTATCACTCAGCTCATCCACTTACAGTAAGAAGAGGGTTGATACAAGGTCTTGAAAACAGAATACGTAGAAATACAACAACACCAAATCACCAGCGTAGAGAAATAAAAGTCCTGTCAAAAATGTTACTCGACAACAACTACCCAAAAGAATTTATCAAAGATAATATGGAGAAGAGAAAAAAGAGGGTAAAACCAGAGAATGACAAGAAGGAGGAAGACCAAAAAAATGATCACAATACCATACAAAAATGGTACATCACAGACAATTAGAAGAAACTTCAAAAATATTAGGATTCGCACCAGGTTTAAATGGACGAATATAATTAAAAATAAAATAAATCAACTGAAAGAATCCATAAAAATGATGGATAAAAATATTCTAATTTACAAAATGTCTTGTGCCGAGTGTCTGACTAAATATGTGGGTCAAACGTCCAGATCACTCAAAATAACAGTGAATCAATATGAACGCCTAACTAAAGGTCAACCAGAAGGAACACAAGCCTACAAGAATTTAGAAAAAAATTCAACTATAACTACACATGCATGAGACAAAACCACAACATTGATCAGGACACGTCCGTATTCTGAAATCTGACATGAACAAATGAAAAGAGAGACTAATAACAGAATCTATATTCATCATCGTCACACCGGATCCATGTAACACGGGTGATTGGGCAGCACAACTGTCAACAACTCGGAATATAATTCTGGATACACAAAAATGAATGAATAACGCAAAGAATGAACTATACATATATGAGTACAAATCATCAATGTATGAATTAAAAACAAAACAATTCCAACAGCTGGTGTGATCACGGGGAGTGCTTTTGCGCCAAGTAATGCCAAGAAAACAAAAGCCTATTCATTGTGTGTAAATGTAATTATAATCTATTTGATCTATTCCACAATCCTCAAGATTTTTTTACTGTTATTTAGTCTACATTGCAGTCTAGAATAAAAAGGCGCTAAATATACTGCAAAACACAATTTGAATACTAATCAATTTTAACAAAATATATTTAACTGTTGTTAAGAAAAGAAGAATAGCAAGTGAATGTGACCATTCGAAGATTGTAAGAAATAATTTATGACAAAGGAAAAAGAAAATACCTACCCCGGTCCAGTTCTACCAGCACGACCAGCTCGTTGATTAGCATTAGCTTGACTGATTGGGAAGATTTGGAGAGCATCCATACCAATTTTAGGATTGAAAACTTTAAGTTTACAATAACCACAATCGATGACATAACGAATACCATCAACTGAAACAAATATGCATGGTTAATGGGCATTAGAGATTTTTGATATATTGACGCTAAAGACAGTCAGTGGTGAAACTAATATGAAAACATAAGAGAAGAACTGCATTCACTCTAAAAAATGAAATACAAATACCTACTACAGTCCTAGAGGAGGTCAATCGCGACCCCGAATAGCTCAGTGGTAACGTCTCTGACTGCAGCACTGAGTAACGCGGGTTCGAATCTGAGAAGGGACATGAGTTCCTCCAAGGTTGCAAATACACCCTACTGACTGATGAGTGCTAACTAGCACGAAACGTAGGTCCAAGGCTTCCTGCCGATCGCCTCTAACTATCCAATATCATGAAATACAAATCTATTGTATTACAATCATTTTCTACAATATGACACCATTTACAGCCATGTTGCTAGCAGATACGAGTCAGTATTATTGCCTATCAATCACCTTCATTCTCTATGTACAGGATCTTGATTGATATATCAGTGGTTAAATCTGTCATTCGATTTAACAAACAATAGAGTATCTCATGAGGTGGGAACATGTATAGGCATATTTTTATCATCAACATAACATAGTATCGACCACTCTTAGCGACACTGTTTGTCTGACTTGTAGAAAGATCAAAATCTGTCTGTGGCTGGAGGGGTGTATGGCTCTCTAGAGTATACAACCCTTAATCTTAATCAGAAGAGTCACATATCTATATTCAGCAGATCCAGTTTGCGCATGTTTCTATTCTTGCTTATTATTTTTTACCTTCACGTGTTTTTATCTTCCCTCTTTATAAACTCTAGTTTTGAGAGTTTTGTTTCTGTGAGATAGACTTATTTATTCGATTAAAAACGAAGACAGAGCAGGATAACGGTCAAGTGAATATTTGATGTTGAGGATTGTTGGTAAAAATGTGTTGATAAGTTATTCAAACACACATAGAATTTAAGGCTGCCAGAAATGTATAATAATTAAGTCAAGGTGGACGTTTCCTGCATTTTCACATCCATATTAAAAGATACGACACATTCTTTCATATCAACCCAAGTAGGCCAGCTAAGGATATTTATTCTACAGGGAATATATATATATATATATATATATATATATATATATATATATGAAACAATAAAGAATAAATCACAAAACCAAGAAATCAGACATCAAGAAGACGCAACAATAAGTTACAATACAGTTGAATATAATGACAAGAAAATCTCCATGAAGACCCAATCAAAGTCTAGGTGGTCAACAGGGAAGATGGTGATTTCATGAGGAAGAAATCCTAAGGCTCGAATCATTTTGACAGCATCGGTGGTTCAGTCGCAGAATACTCGCCAGGCATGCATGTCTTTTTGGATTCAAATCCTGGCCGACGACGCATTGCTAAACTTCACTTAGTTGGTAGCAAGCAAGTCTGGTAAAGACGGCAGATCGATAGGGTGTGAGAACAGCAACCTCACAATGTAAAAAAGTGCTACAGCTACTGAAACTTGACGTCTTATGTGCCACTCGGAACACAAAAGAATAATATAAACGAAAACTTCACTTTTTGAAGTAAGTATTGTAGATGTTGTCTGAAAGGTTAATGAAATCTCCATAATTAGACCAGATAGCCGACAACACAACACCGCCAAACATGTCGGATGATGGATGAATAAACTAGTATTCTGATGCATTGGTTCTAAGGTATTTTAAATAGCCTAGCAAAAATGTCTCGTATAGAGGTGTTTGTTAACGAATGTTTACATGTACATCACACCAGAAATACCAACAGCAACAACAACAATAACAAACGAGATGATATAATTTAGAAAAAAAAACATACCAGTTAAAGAGGTTTCAGCAATATTTGTAGCTACAACACATTTTCTCACACCATCTTCAGCCTTCATAAATATTTTAGCTTGAAGATCACTAGGTAACTGAGAGTAAATAGGCAAGATAGACAGTGGAGGAGCTTCATCCAAGTTACCCAATCGTTCTAAAGAGAGAGAAAAAGAAAACCGGGAGGAAGATAAAACTCGGATTACACTATCTGTCATATACACAGAAAATAAATCCACCCCACTTAAAAATTTTATTTTTCATTATTTTATTTTATTCCTTAACGTTCCTAATGGAATATAGGGTTTCAAGCTAGAGGCTTGAAAATTCAGTAGTAGTGGTGTTCATTTCTTACTGCGTAGGCCGCGGCTCGAACACCGAGCCATATGAGCAGTTGCCGAGCGTTCTAGCGCTGTGCCACTGACGCACCCTATTTAAAAATGTGATGGCAAAAAAAGAATAGATTCAGCTAGAACTAAGTAGAAACCACCTGAGATATTTCAATTACTAGTTACTGTATCGATTTATTTCCTCACCTTTAATTTAGAAATGAGAAAATCTTCTCCTCTTCAACTCCATATACTTAGAAAACTGTTAATCAGCAAACTACTCACTATCCGTTTTTAAAAAAAATCAATCAGTGAATTCAGCAAATCAATAACAGAAGCTAATACTGACTTGGCTAGTCTTCAATCTGTCGACTTTGTTGATACAGTTAAGTGATTATTAAAGCTAAAATGGAGACTTTAGTAGTCATGACAAGGCTAGAACTCGAGGCATCTAGACGACTACATCTACACTGTACAAGCTTAGAGACGGAAACCAACCACTAAGGAGATCATGATGACGACAGGGCTGGGAATCCGGTGGTTGAGGGGTTCAAATTCTGACAGCAGCTAAGTTTTCACCTTAATCATTACCCATTATTATATGATGCTTCATGGAGGGATACTTTCAATAAGCAAGCTAAAACGTCACAATACCAAGTAGAGCCTAACAGGTAGTAATATATAAATATAAGGATTTAAAACACAAACAAAAGTGTTAACAGCCTGTGGTCGGTCGAACATAGAAGTTTGATTCGATATAACACGATTGCCTAGTGTCCCAACAGTATCAATTACACATATTCGGCTGAGGCGGATAAAATCTATTCGAAAACAGAATAGTGAGATAAGTAATGTATTTGAATAGCTAAGTGGTATGCTTCATACTGACGGCCTCTTTTTATTGCATCTGAAGAGTCAATGAGGCGACAATGAACGGAAGTCCATTGAGAATGACATCAAATAAATCTTGAGTATGAAGTCCTTCATTTCAGACGAATATGCTTTTTGATGCCTATACATTCCCTTTTTTCCCGTCCTTCTAATAATGTTGTTTTAGATTGTCATAGAAAATCACCTTGTTAGGCGTAATAATGTCGAAAACCTGAAGTACTTCAAAATATTGATGACCAATAACTGCATTGGATACATATCAAATATCGTTTTTTTTGTCCTAGTTCGGGACTGTTCACAGTAGTGCACACCCATAACTCCATCATGGATTCAACCTGAGAACTTCAGATTACACGATCAAGCTCGTTGGCAATTCAACCGCTAAGACGAAGCAGCTTTCCACTGCTCCCTGAATTTTAACGACCTTTCTAACTGAGGCTGTTGATTCGCGACGAAATATACATTGAAATGAATTCAAATCTAAACTAAAAGCCATAATCCTAAAAACAATAATAATAGTAATGAAAGAAGTTGTGAGATGTGCTACTGATAATATTTATAAGTAGTATACAGTAGTAGAAGTTTGGAAATCTTCTGCACCCCGCAGCATAAACAATAAGATTAGGATTTTCAACACAAATTTGAAGTAAGTCACTTCTTCTATACGGGTCAGAAACTTGGTGCGTCGTGTAAAGCATTTCCAACAGGTTGCAGACTTTTATTAACAACTACCTTCGTTCCAGAAAGATCAAATAGCTAACCGGAGAGAATTAGTAACAAGAAACTATGAAACCAAACCAACCAAGAACCAATTTCTCAACAAGTATGTAGGAGAAAATGGAGATAGTTCGGGCATACGTTGAGTAGGCCATCGAATGACATCGAGCTCAATGCAGGCCATTAGTCGAGTGGAACCCTATTGGAGAAAAAAACGAGTGGGTCATCGTAGGGTGACCTGGAAGCTGACCGTGCGATGGGGAGATGAAAGATTATGGACTTTCGTGGGTCCAGCTGAAGAAGACCGTATAAAAAAGAACAAATTGGAGATATGTTGTTGAAGCACCACATTCCACTCGGCACAAAAATATCAAATAGCGGAGAGACAGATTCGATGTCAAAGAGAGCAAGTGAACCAGTACTGCGGAAAAAACATGGGAGACAAGAAAGGAAGAGAAAAAAATACAATACAAAGGGGAGAAGTAGCACAACACGGAAAATCGGAGCAAACCACGATTTTCAGATAAGATGTACACAATCGCTCTATAGAGAGATATCAGATTCCAAATAAGCATTCTATTACCAAGTCTCTTGTTTTCTATCATTACAAGGTTAGTAATTTAAATCACAATAAAAATAATAACAAACTATACTATCATTGCTATAATTAAAACTTATAAAAACCAAATATAAAGGATGACAACATTTCAAACAACTAACCAGCGATAAGTTCACAAGTAACTTCAATGTCCTCCTGACCAGGCATGAAGATTAATATGTCGCCTTGAAAGGAAAACAAAAGTGAAGATAAGATGGATATTATATTAAAGATTGTAACTCAAACCAACATTAGATGAATATGAGGCGAAGTATACAGGAATGTACACATTACAATTAGGCTAAACTACTAATCAAAGGTAAAATTTATCAGTGGCAATGCAGACAACTGAAGTGAATAAAATCGTTAACTGCTAAAAGGATTGACTAGCTATCTCTATGATAAAAGAATGAATATTGTCGATAAAATCAGCTTAAAACGTCTTGATTGAATATGAGAATAAAACTTGTGCACCTTGATATGATTATGAGTAATAAATTTTGCTCGAAACGTCATCAGTAAACATTACTGTATAACACTGTGAGACTTTATCAAAACAAAAATTTACCCATAATGGAGTCTTGATTGGACACTAGTCAGTAACTAGTGTAATATGTTTAGTCCTTTGTTCGGTGCAGACTGAATTCTATCAGCCAAGTTTGCAATGTGGCCACCATGCCACTACGTGGCTTGTCATCACAGTGCCCTTTGAATTGTTGATATTAGATGGTTGGAGGTAGTCGGCCACAGGAGGCCTTAGACCTACGTTTCGTGCTAGTTGGTACTCACCAGTCAGCAAGGCGTATCTATAACCTCAAAAGGGACATGAGTTCCTTCAAGGTTGCGGATACGCCTTTCTTGGCTGGTGAGTACCAACTAGCACGAAACGTAGGTCTAAGGCTTCCTGTGGCCGACTACCTCCAACCATCTAATATCAAGCCTAAAATGTGAATGTAAACAACCATTAACCAAGAAGGTAGTGTGTCAGTATAACAGATTACGTAAACGAACAAAAACTTATTAAGTTTCACAACAGTATATAAAGCACTAAGACGGGCAGAATTAAAGTGGATGTCAGTTTAGAAACAGAGTAGAGGAGAATAAGAGAGACCGAAATTCGGCATAAATAAATAAGGATAATTATGCCTACATATCCAAATTTTTATAAACTGTAGAATATTTTAGCAATGGAATAATCAGCTAATTTACAATAGAACAAATTCCGCTGATTTATCTTCAGGATTAGTACGCTTTGACCTCCTGCATTCCCTTGCGTTCCCAAGTAGAACACACAGTGCTCAAGCCTCTGAAGTTTCAGAAGCAACAGTGTTGTCTTACGAGATACGATTGCTAGCCTCACACACTCAAGCAAGCCTCCCTCTTTCCCGAGCTTACTAACTGCTAGTGAACTAGGCTACGTTGGTAATTCTTAGCAATAACAAAAAATAATTTCATTATTAATAAGGATTATTCACAATGTAATAGGTACATATATATAAATAAAAACATACCATCAGTTGGAGATCCCAAATGGACTTGAATCGCTTGTTTCACAGATGCATCGACATAATCCATTACTGTTGTTTTACTGAATTGTGTATCAACAGGAAATGTTCGACCAGGGATTCTAAAAATTGGACAATCACCAAAGAATTGAGCAAATCTTTCTGCATCCATAGTAGCAGAAGTGATCAAGAGACGCAGATCATTTCGCCTACTAACAACCTAAAATTAATATTATCTTTATTTAAGCTTAACATGAGATTTTAACTTATATAAGGTATAAAGTAGTGAACAAGTATAACTTTTGATTATGAAATAACTGTCAACAAAATTGTAATTGGTAGTGATTATGGTTCTAGCGTTTGTAATATGGATCACCAACCATATATGACTTCATCTAATCACAGGACAGAGCCAGAATATCACCGTTCTCAGCGTTATCTCCCCTAAGATTTTGTAAGTAGATAAACTAAATCACATATCTGAAGCAGAAGTGCTACTGTATACCCATTCCTCAAGTATTCCACGTTAACATTTTCCCAAATCCCGTATATTTTTACACTATTACGGTGGAGAGTGACAGTGGAAAAAGAACGTAAAGCTGGGGGAATAGTTAGTGTTATTGTGCCGTACTTGAGATATGAGTGTGTGGTAATACTTCTGCTTCAGATATGTAATATGGTATGTCTATATGAAAAACACTTATAGTATTGATAATACGATGAGTAATACTACAGTCACTTTAAGCAGGGAGAGTGAGCCAATCGATTGAGATGGCTACGAGACTTGCTACGCATGCGACGCCATCACCTTTTTTGTAGAACAATGTTAGCTGACATTCGACTACGTTGGAAAAGAGTCAGTGGTGGTGGTGGCACAATGGTTAGGACTCTCGCCGAACATGCACATGGTCCGGGTTTCGATTCCCCGCCGACGCACACCCGATATCTATGGTCGGCCTGTGATATTTGGGCTACCGATATCACATGCTGAAAATTCCATACCTGTACCAAAAACTACGGTGTGGAATCAAGCTGTAATAAAAAACAAAAACAAAAATGGAATCAATCCATAAAACCTTTGATTTTCAAGTATTCATTGGTAGGGTTTTGACTGACTGGTTACAGGATTTCATCATGAACTGACATCGATTAGAGAACCATTGTAAAACCTGAGAGTACTGGAGAGTTGTTTTGTCCCAGTTTGGGACTCTTCATCAGTACGCACCCACCGGGGCTCGGACCGATGTCAGCTCATGACTGAATCCTGTAACCAAACCTTGATTGTTGGTTTGAGCCGCGTAGGGAAGTGTAGACTTCCTAGTTGGATTCCTCTAGATGCTAAGAATCAATGGGTGAAGACTACTGGTGATTTGGCCAAAAATTGTTCTCAGTAGCGTAGACACACACACAGTCTTTGCAATCTTAAACCGACTAAGTCCTCATGTTTTTCCATGGAGTGTAGCGACTTGAACTGCCGCACATATGTGCAAAGTTCTATGTTGAAAACAGACAAACAGACAGTTTCTCCATGTGATGACTCTTTCTGCCCGGTATAATTCTATTGAATTTTTTTCTCTACCTATGTGTTGTAATGAGCGGCATATTGAACTGATTCACCACTGTGCAAAATTCTACGACGAAACTCAGTAAGTCATTATAGTATTGAAAATATGGAAGAATTAGGTTGCGCTAATACAATAAGTATTTATAAATATTACGACAAACAATTAAGAAGTAAAGGATTGTACCTCTCGTAATAATCCGAATAGTACATCAGTATTTAAAGATCTTTCATGAGCCTCATCCATAATTATTGCAGAGTATGGATCCAGGTCAGATTCACGTAGAGACTCACGTAACAAGATTCCATCAGTCATATACTTAATGATTGTAGAAGAAGAAGTACAGTCTTCAAATCTTATAGCATAACCAACTTCTTCACCTAGACGAACATTCATTTCTTCAGCAACTCGACGAGCAACAGACATGGCAGCAACTCGACGTGGTTGTGTACAACCAACCATACCATAAGTTGTATAACCATCCTCGTGTAAATATTGTGTTAATTGGGTTGTTTTTCCACTGCCAGTCTCTCCAACAATCACTACAATCTAATCACACCGAAAAGATGCGTATGCAAAAAGTGAAATTAATTGATTGATGAAATTGTGAGATTAAAAAGTCATATATTACGAAAACGAGAAGGAAATATTGAAAGACAATCCATAGGTTAAAAGATTCCAGCACCCCAAAGTCCAAATTAACCATATTATTGTGGTTATTCAACATACACAGTGTGGCGTCAATTGCTAAGTGTATGAACAATTGTTGAGTGACACCTCATTTACTTCCTATAATAAACTAAACGAAACAGAGAATTTAAGCAATACTAAGATATTCAGTCATGTTAAATGAATCGAACTCGAGATATTATTGATTTCAAGGTAGACTTCGTCACAAACTAAGATCACTTAGAGAACCATTGGAAATCACGGAGCCTGACACAGCTATTTTATTCCAGTTCGAGACTCTTCAGCTAAAGACACCGTGTCTTTGGATTCTAAATCAGAAACTGGAAGACCATCAGGCTTACTTAGTAACTTGAAGGTCATAGGTTCGATTCCTAATGGAGTTGTACGTGCACAAGTCTAGAAATCAACAAACTAGGACAAAACAGATGTTCAATGGCCAGTTAGTGATGAAATCTACTCTGACTTTTATTTCCCAAACCAATAAACGTTCATTACCTATACGGATTTAAATCTTATCTTACATACAGCCATCAGGTTACAACATCTTGTATATTTAAGGTTAGTTAACCGATAAAATGGAAGGTATTTTAACATCACTTTTTGACAAATGTATAAGAGAAGTAATGACACGAAGACTTGACAAAGCTATTACGTAATACTATAAACTAACTGTTCTTCAATAATCTAGGAGGGTCCGATCGCCAATCTTCGATGATTCTCACTGTGTGTATCAGTCTGAGTGTGTTTGTGGAAGCAAATAAGTCGATCGTACAGAAAGGTGATTAATCTACTCGCATGATGCAGCATTTACCCAATTGGTTGAAAAAGATATGAAGTCAATGTGCTAAAAAACGGCAGTAACAACAAAGCATCTTGTAGACTACGGATATGATACTGTCGTTTTCAATTCATTCACTGTTGTCAATTGATAGAGAAAAAGAAGGATATAGTTGCGATTGCTGAAGCTTTTCCAATTAAAGTTTATACACCAGGTCTTCGAGTACAGAAGAAAAATATCCCTACACAGAGTAAGCGAGACCTAAGAGAAAATTGTATTGAAACTACAATGAACTATTTGTCACATAAACAACTACCGAATTACGAAATATACTCACTATTTCATAAGAAAAAACACAGTTTTTTTTGGTTCAGCGAAGAAATATCTCTTTTCAACGACTTCATTTTCAAGCTATACAGTCGTATTTATATTACGGAAAAGAGCATTAAAAGGCACTAGAAATTTCCCAGTCAGTAAACATGTGATAAGAATAACAATAATTAAAATGATATATTGTTGGTAGATTTGAAGTGGATTAATTACAAAACTGTATGTGCGGGAGCAGTTACATTGGAAGGACAGAAAGAAGGGCATATCTACGCTTTTCTGTACCAACAAGCTTATGTCTAAAGAGAACAAATGCTTTAAACAGTACCATCGCCAGACATCTCCTTGACACGGGTCATAAGATGGACGTCGAAAAGTTGTTCGCAATTATCAATAGGCAAAAGAGCTCAATTCTCCTCAAGTTTGCTGAAGGCATTTCCATCAAGCGCCTGAAACCTGATTTGTGCATTCAAAAAGAAGCGGTTATCAGTCTTTCCTTGTCCTGCCTGGTAACTGGATATTTTTCATCTCTCTTTCATCTGAATGCGAAATGCTGAGAAGTTTCCATTGTGTGTGATCATTATTGTTAGGAATAGTGTTTAATATTACATATATATATATATATATATATATATATATAATTTCTTTGGCCTGTAAGCAGCTGACGAGAAGGCAATAAAATAAAAGATGGTAGCACTTTGTTCTGCAAAAACTGCAATGCTTGCTTTCTTCAAATTCACTAGGGGGGATAAATGTATGAAAACTTTTAAAGATTGCTAAATAAGTGAACTGGTATAAATGCCTCTAATGCCTTTTTGCGTAATATCTATCCGACTGTACAGCTTGAAAATGAAGTCGTTGTAAAGAGACATTTCTCCGCTAATAAAAAATGTGTTTTTCTTTATGAACTACCGAATTATTATAAGCGAGATGAAGGATTGTTCACTTTTTCGACACACTAGTATTAATGCCTTAAAGCTACACATGAATCTAGAGGATTACACACTTTAAAAAAAAACAATTTTCTATATGGTATATTCTGCTTTCTCAGTGTATGAAATAAATAAATTGCGTCTGAAAAGATATTTTTAATTTCAACAAGAAAGAGATAATTCCATAACTTGTAGATAGTAGGTGGTAGTCAAACCCACCTGATGTTCTTTAATCATTCTCAGTAGAGACGATCTTACAGAGAAAACGGGTAAATATTGTCTTTGTTCTGCAATAGTCTTTCTTGTGGCAAAGTCGCTTACAGCTTCAGATTTCATATCACCAACTTTATCAGCAAAGGTTTGAGTATCACGATGAGATTTTTCAGTCCAATTATCTTCTTCTTCAGGAGGTTTAATACCCATAACTTCACCAATACGTGTTCCAGCTAATTGCCATTCTTTTTTCTGTGCTCTTTTACGTTCTTTCTGTTCTCTGAAATACTTCACTATAGCACTGCCTTTTTGAGCAACTTTGGCCATTATACTATCTGGATCCTATAAAATAAAAAAAGAGCAATGTATTGCCATAAAAAATAGACACCAAAAGTAAAATTCCCATTTTATAACTGTTCTGGTACATACTTTAACGAGAAATAACAAAATGAAAATGCTGTATAATGCTGTTATTTAGAAACGTACGATTTGATGTGACACTGAAACACTGATGAATGACGATGCTTTATGAACACTGAAGGCAGCTAACATCAAAAGAAAGAGAGAAAGACAGCAATCGGGGTGAAGGGGATTCACTTCAATCGACCAGTAACAAAAGCACAGTTACGCTTCTGATACCAGTGGAGTAAAAAGCAAAGATGTAATGAACACCTGTCACAGATTAGTCCTACTTAAAAACGGTGAAAGCGAATGAAAGCACAGAGAAGCGCATGTGAGATTCAAAAGCAAGGAATTCAAATTCAAAAAATAGCATTTAGAAATTATAAGTAATTTACGTTAGTGTGGAGAAACAGGTATTCCAAAAAGAGAGTGAAGTCTCTCGAAACAATGATAAACACAAAGATTTGGTTGTTACGGCTGATACCCAAAAGTAGCTAAGGTGATAATCGCAAACACACATACACGCAATAGTTTTATGCAAACATCATAAAAATAGAAAACCTTCAAAGAAGAAGTGTGCATTAATGACATATTCCTAATCCCCTTAAGATTTCATGTTATTAGTTGGAGTTCAAGGATAAATCTTCACCTGGCGAGGTCATAAAAAGGCAACATTCAGCAAAACAATTTATGACACACTTATATCGGGAACAAGCTCATTCAGCTTTCGATGGAAAGCAAAAGGTGGTCAATTTAATTTAATTGGTAAGGATTAAATAATCTTTACAACCACGTACTTATAAAAAGATGTATTATTATTATATCCTTTAATTCCTGGAGGAACATAGGGCTTCAGCTGCGCATCTTCATTGCCTTCGGTTTTCTGCCAACTTTTTCGCCCCGCTCCAAGTCTGCCCACATGCTTTCATCTCCTCTTCACATGACCTCCTCCAAGTCACCCTCGCACTGACGACCAACTCGCCGCCTACCTTTCGGGTTCCACTCGAGCTATGGCTTGTCTAGTGATGTCACTTAATGGTTTCCTCAAAGTATGACCAATCCATCTCCATTTCTTCCTGCCTATTTGTTTCACAATCTGTTCCTGCTGTGTCGGTTCGCTCATTGCCAGAGATCCCTGTTGCTGATCTTTTCTGGCCGGCCATCTGATCTTGAGTATTGAGTGAAGATAACTGTTAATGAAGGTCTGAAGTTTGTTTGAGATGCTCTCTATGACGCGCTGTTCAAGTCTCTGATCCGTATGGTGAGTAGCACTGACTTCACATTGGAGTTGAAAATCCGGATGTTATTTTTGATGGTGAGTGCTGTTGACCTCCATACAGACTTGAGAGTAATGAAAACTCGTCTTGCCTTTCCGATTCTGGCTTTGATATCCTCGTCAGTTCCGTTCTCCTGTAGTTGAAACGATGCTTCCCAGGTAGGTAAAGGAGGTTGTTTCTTTCAGGTTCCTCCCATTTATGCCGGCTGATTGTTGTCTGTTGTTGTTGTTGCTGCTGTTGGCCAGGAATCTTCATCACCTCTGTTTTATCTATGTTCACCTGAAGTCATATCTTATCTGGATGCTTCTTCTGCCAACCTGTTGCTTTTCACTTGCATATCTTCCAATTTGTGGGAAATCAGACATATATCATCGGTGAAGTCCAGATGCTGCAAGTTTTTTGTGTGAGTCCATTTTATACCTTTTTCCTCATTGCCCTCTGTCTGTCACATTATCCAATCTACTGCAATCAGGAAAATCATTGGCGATAGTAAGCAGCCTTGGCTTACTCCAGTCCTCACTTCTAAGGCTTCTGTAAGTTTCCCGTTGTGGCTTACTTGGCATGCAGCATTGTCATACAACTGTTGGATGAGATGTATAATTGTCGGCGGCACCCCGTAGTAGCGAATTAGTTTCCAAATCAACTCTCGATCGACCCTGTTGAAGGCCTTTTCAAAGCGATGATGTTGAAATAGACAGGTGACTGCCACTCTAACCTTTGTTCAATGATGATCCGTAGTGTGGCGATGTAGATGAGAATAAACACATGAAATACAGCTTTCAAGCAAACAGTTTAGCCTATTCTCTGAGTGATTATATATATATATATATATATATATATATATATTGATGGAGATACCTGACCACCATCAACAACAACAAGCATCAATCAAGACTAACAGGATAAATCTAAAGGAAGTCACTTGTTTCACTCGTCTAGGCAGAATCGTTTCAACTACAGGCGGCTGTGATCTGGATGTCAAAGCTACTCAGGACGGGGACCCGCAAAGCAAGACAGATCTTCACCAAATTGAAATCAATGTGGAAATCTGGTGAACTGAACATACAGTACAAGATTCAGATTGTCAACACTAGAGTCAGAGGTCAGTGCTTCTGCACAGTTCACACACTTGGGATTTCCAACAGGATGCAGACATTCATCAACAGCTATCTTAGCTGGCTGCATGCTAAAGATCAGGAGACCAGCCAGAGAGGAATAACAACAAAGAACTACGGAAGCGAACTAACCAAGAGCTTATTGTCTAACAAATATGTATAAGAAAGTGAAAATGAATTTGACATACGGTAAGGAGACTATTGAATGAAATCACGCCCAAGAGAGGCCTTCAAGTGGGACCTGAATGGGAAATGACAAGTGGAACACGTAGGAGATAATGTGAAGAGGAAGTGAAAGTTAGTGGGAAGTCGTGAAGACAGCTAAGAGAAACTGCACAGATCCGAATGGAATGGTGCTGTGCCGTTGAAACCCCAGGTCCACTCAGAACCCAAAGGACCACAGATGCACCCAAGGGAATAATTATTTATATATACATTACAAGTCGCAACACCAACACAATGCTTTTAATACTAACGAATACACAGGAGAATAATCTCTTCAAATGCTATATGCTTTCTATTGATAACTCCATGGAAGGTAAGTTATCATACACAATTGTAAGATATGACTTAAAGTAATAAAACCTTATTAAAACGCTAATTTACCTTAACTGGGATAACTGGTTCAGGTTGACGAGTGAAAACAATCCTTCCGTCGAGAAATGGTGGTAAGATATTTCGAACCAGTAAATGGACCCTAGCCTCGCCTTCTTCATCGAAATCTTCATCTTGATCAAAGTCTACTCGTTGGACAACTCCAGACCTCAGCATACGGTTATGCTCCCATGCTTGATTATCTTTGTGAACTTGAACAGCTTTGGCAGTTAGACGTTGTTTGTGTCTCTTTTTACGTTCTGCAAGTTGACGTTCCTTTTTTGCAGCGTATTCTTCCGGAATATCTAATGAACAGGAATAGTAAAGTTAACAGAGATTATAACTGTTTTTAAAAGGCGTTTGTTCTGCATAACAAGATATGCATTAAAACAACTAGAGAGTTGTAAAGAATTCCTATAAGTAGATATATGTTTATTTTATCCCAATATGCGATTTCTCAATAGATGACCTTAACTCTATGATGGAATCAAATGTAAGACTTGCATGTTATAAATATACTGTCCAACCTCCAAAGTAGATTATAGAAACCTGAGTATCCCTTAACTGAGGAAATATCATCCATAGTGATTGTAACCAAGATAAATTACGTATATAAACTGCAATTATACAGCTTTCGAGGATGAAACTGCTGAAAAGACATCTGTTATGCACATGTTGTTTCCTCTTTCATGACCTAATTATCATCCAGTGTTTCTGTGAAAAACCATTGTCGACTTTAGAAATTTGGAAGCCCCCCCCCCCAAAGGGGATTTACACCCCTCAAAAGCAGTGAATTTCGGTAATGTTCCACGCTTCTGACATCAAATCAAACAGACTAATCATTTTTGTAAGAGCATTATAACTACTTGAAGTTAAACCTGCTTATTATTCAGTTATGATTAACATAGAATATAACTATTTAGGTGAGTCGGTGGTACAGCGGTTAGGACGCTCCCCGACCATGCACATGGTCCGGGGTTCGATCCCCGGCCACAAACGCACTTCTGTACCTCGCTAAGCCAGAAAAAATGCTGGTGAAGAGGAAAGGTTGGGCATGAGGCTAGCAACCCCATCCTGTAGAAATAAACATTGCTACAGAAACTTCAAGCCACTAGCTTGAGGCCCTATGTTCCACTGGGGAACGTGAAGGAAAAAAATAACTATTTAGAAAAGTAAAATTACATTTCCACAACTTATGAGATTGAAATCCTCTGCTGCTCTTTATCAGCAAGACAAACACAATTAGTCAAAGTGGGATTACCAGGATACTCTCCACTTTACTTCCCTACATAATTATGAAGAAAACTAGAACTGAAAGGCCTATAGTAAACATTTGGTGTTCCGATGACAATGATTTTTAAAGAGTAAAAATAAGTAGTCCAAACGGTCAAATACAAATAATTATTAAAAAAACTTACCAGCAAAAGGATTGTTTTCATTATCATAACCGTCATCCATTTGATACCAGTTACGATCTAGTCTTTCATTTTCAGCCATAATTTCATCATTGTCTTCTTCAACTTCGGTTGCACCACCTTCTACAGTATCATTTTCATTCTCATTGGGATGTTTGGTTCTAGACTGATCATGAGTATGTCGGTTAGAATGTGACCGCTTAGAATCCAAATCTCGTGTATCATTTCTGTTTGACTGCATCCAAGGGTTATGCTTGAAAGTTGGAGTTGGCAGAGGCGTATAAGTATATCTATCTTTATCTGATCCACGAGCTAATGACCCAGTGCTTCTTGGAGTCGTGGATCGACTTGTTCCTAAACCAGAATCATCCCAACTAGAATGCCCTGGAGATCGTTCTTCAAATGTATGAATATCTGGAGTCTGATATCGGTTAATGCTGGAACTAGTAGCATTTCCACTCTCTCTAGCACTGCGACTAGGTGTTTCATCTTCCCATTCTTCTTCTCTCCGACGTCGTGTACTCAAAGACTCCTTTTCTCTATCTGTCTCATGACGAGAGTGATCTAAAAAATTGCATAATGCACACCGCTTGGTAAAGACTTTTATGTTTAATATATAGCGAAAATCTTATTTAAACGGAAAAATAACAAGGAATAATGAATAGAAATACGTAGTCAGATCACACTAATCATCTGTGAACTTTGTAGACAATAATGAACAATATTACCAACAAATAATTATAATCCTGACATGGTAAGCAGACTTTCATTAAGTTAGCAACTTATCTTGAGTGAAGCAACTTTCCATTTAAGTCCTATTGCCCTCAGAAAGCTGGTTAGTAATACTCTTTCTAATGTGAATGACTTGTGATACTTTTGGGATCTTAGAGCAAAGCCAAGTTGCAGTGCGATGTTTAACTTGGAAGAGCACCATTCGAGATACACCATCTTTCCACTTTGCACAGAAAAGGTAGTAATGCACCAATATTGAAAACTTTGTCCAACTACTTTTCGTCGCTAATAGTAAAGTTTTGACACTGAGCGAAATTTAACAAGCGTATACGGAGTCGAAAAAACACCATTATGGGATCTGCGGCAACACAAAGCTGGTCTACCTACTCTTTCAAACGTCTTAAGAAGATACCAAATATCTCAACATGAATAGTCTGTAAATCCCACATACGTTACAAACAGTAAACAATTCATTCTGGCAGTATTTTGCTCTCTCCTCTAGTTTCGTTATCCTCTGTGCTACTACTTCTCTTATCCTGCAGTTACTGTCAGCGACTCAACTTAGGCAAACCTTACACTTCTTTCCCCTTTGAAATCAGTCAGGCTAGAAAGTGAAGAGTGAATATTTCAAGCGCCTGAATACCATCCCACACTAGACAACGTCTTAATAACCACAAGTACGAAATCATCGGATGAGATTTTATGTTTTCTCCGAAAAAATATATACGATATACGTGTAGTCATTTATTGAACAGTGTCTGACCGACGAGGTGATGTTGTTCAACTTCATAAATACGTACAAACACGCAAGCAACGTGGCACTAATAGGATTTCGACTGTAATAGCAACTCCAGGTATACCTGTGCACCAAACTGAATGAAAACAAGCAACTACAATGCTCAAATGTAGACGAAAATCCATGTTAGTATTTGGAGAGGAAGCAAGTAACGTCGAAATGAACGCTGGATTTTGATTTAGCCAGGAATAGTATCTAGTTTACAAGCATTTCTTTAAACGATGATCTCAGTATCACATGAAGGCGTATGTGGCGTTAACTGGGTCCTCGATACATTAGATAGCAATGAATTTAAGGCACCATAATTGTTACACTCGTTTTATTTGAACACTTAAAACACTAAACTACGTTTGTTTCTAGAAATGCATTTAAGAAGCCATGCAATACACAAACCCAATTTCTGAATAACGAGAGACTTTTTTACATCTATGTGTACATCTACACTGCCCCTCATTCCTATTCTTGTTTTCAGTACGAACTTGTGCAAGCAGACCCTTAATAAGTAACACAATATTGGAGAGAGGACAAGATAGTAATTTAGCCTACATATTTTATGACAGGTGACTTTCACAGACATACTAAAATGCTACGAAGCTTACTTGATGATTTCCGAGAATCTGAATAACTGTTATCAAACTTCCTAGAGGTTGTCGAAACAAGACCAGTTTTCACTCGTTCCTTATGATCGCGTTCCCGCTTCCTCGCCTGAGAATCAAAATATTCTTTACTGACACCCCCACGATTAGACGGAGTTTCTACACGCCTTTCCCTATAGAATCTGAGGGGGAAAAATCATTCTTAAAACACTAATTTACCTTTCTTTATTTGTACCATCACGTTTGTTGAAGTGAGGCTCGTTATTTTCAGCCTCCTGTCGTTTTTTCGCCGCTAATTTGTCTAGGCCAAACAAGGACTGTCGCGGCTGTCTGAAAACTTCTTTTGATTTCGACAATATGAGACCACCAACTTCCCTTGTAGATCCATCCAAACGATCCCTCTCCTCAAAAAGATCCATGACACAGACCACAAGTGTGGTATGGTATGGTATCGTTTATAAAAAATGATGTCTTGAGATGACTAGTGATAACAAACAAAGTGACAAAGCAATTATATACTGATTTGACGCGTTATATACTAGCATATATAAGATAGGTAGACAGATTCTTAATTTGAAAGTATTTCATTTGAAGACCATAAAAAGAAAGCTACAAAAATATTCACGCATCTAAAACAGATGATACAAATCAGAGACAAGAAAAGATAATTTAGTTAAAGTAAATTTAGTAACAGCTGTCTTTGTAATGGAATTTAAGGGTGTCAAAAAAGAACCACCTATTACATTTTATTTAAGCAGCACTAACTCAGGTAACTATGCGTTTCATCTCATTTATAAATTCAATGGCACGAGAACTCAATACTAGAGCAAGCCAGAGTGATAACTACCTCAAAACGATGGTTGAAACTGCAACGGGATAATGACCCATGCCGGCTGAAAAGAATTCTCGAAAGTTCTACTGTGCAAGACGGTATATTTAATAGCAGCAAAGATAGCAGCAGTTACTGTTATATTGCAAGGTAATTTCACTGAGATGATGCCACGACGACCAGAGAGATTCTGCAAACGTTCAGGGAATATACGAAGTAGAGTCACTTAACTTTCATCCAGTAAGTTGTGGGTTTGAACACTGTTTTGTCTAGAGACTCTACAGACATACAGCATGATCAAACCTTACTGAGTTGCAATAAAGAACTTGGCACAGCAGTGCAGCAGTTCAAGTTGTCACACTACATAACCCACAAAGGTAGAGAAAAAAAGAGAGACTCAAAAGAACTATAATGAGCAGAAACATGCGAGAGAAAGACTAGCAACATGCAAAGACATCAAGGTTCAGGGGATAAGAGACATCACACAGTGAATGCACTTTCGCCAATGAAGATTTTGAGCCGTATCACCACTAATCTCCAGTCAGGTAGTCTACACCTCACTATGCCATTCCAACAAAAGCCAGACCACTGATTGATGCTAGGTTTTGAATTGACAAACCCTGGTTCTTTTCCGAACCAACCCTATGTCAGCTAGCATTACTTGTCGAGGAAGGCAGTGACTCGGCGTGTGCAACACGTATCCAAGCCATCTCAATCATCGTAGCTTCAAAACCTCATCAAGTGATTTACCCTCCTTAACTAATACTACGTCTAACCTTAATACTGCTTATCACAGTGTACTATTTAACACGGGAAATAGAAAGCAAGCATATGTAGTCAGTGACAGCCAGCTTTTTCATATCTTCCACTTTTAACAGCCATGAAGGAGGACAGAACAAACCGTTGCCCTTCGATGGAAATTCGGATACCACGTCTACACCAAAGATGACATTAGTCGACAAATGCAACACCAATCTTTTGTATCCATCCCATCACCACTATATATATATATATATATATATATATAACCTCGCCAGATTACTAACTTGCTAGGCTGCTAGCTTCCTAGTTTTCTAGCCGGTCCCAAGCCCGGGTAAAGAGGAGGGTTGGGGCGTGGTGCTAGCAACTCCACCCCTGTAAAACAACCAAATCGCTACAGAAACTTCAACGAATAAATATATTAAAAATTCTAAAAACATAAGCAATAGCCTTACTTTTCGCTGGAATCGGGGAAGTGAAATGACGCAGGCTGGTGAAAGCCTTCGGGAAGCCAGTCAGCCGATGTGCCTTCTTTCGATGAAAGCAAAAGTAATGATGGGTACCTGGAATGTTCGCACAATGTACGAAACTGGAAAGGCTGCCCAGATAGCCGCTGAAATGAGAAGGTACAGAATAGAAGTGTTGGGAATCTGCGAAAGCAGATGGAACGGAACTGGAAGGTGCCAACTACCTACTGGAGAGACAGTAATCTTTTCCGGCCACCCAGAGGACAACCATGAGCACACCGAGGGAGTGGCCATCATGATGTCACCAACAGCAACCAAAGCTCTCATGCAGTGGGAACCAATCTCCTCCAGGATAATGACAGCCAGGTTCAACTCAAAAGGAAGGAAAGTTACAGTCATTCAATGCTATGCGCCTACAAACGTCTCAGAACAAGAGAAGAAGGAGGCGTTCTACAGACAACTACAAGCAATAATGGACAACGTCCCAAATGGCGATATCAAAATCCTGATGGGCGACATGAATGCGAAGCTGGGAGGAGACAACACAGGAAGAGAACTCACCATGGGTCGTGAGGCCCTCGGTGAAATGAACGACAATGGTGAACTCTTCTCAGACTTCTGCGCCTTCAATGATTTGGTGATTGGTGGCAGTGTGTTCAAACACAAGGATATACACAAGACGACATGGATTTCACCAGATGGAAACACCAAAAACCAAATAGACTTCATCTCAATTTCAAGAAAGTGGAGACGGAGCCTACTGGACACAAGGTCGAGGAGAGGAGCAGATGTGGGTTCAGACCACTATCTAGTACAAGGGACTTTCAAGGTGAAACTAAAAGCCTCGAGGATAGCTGGGGATAGGCCACAATGCAAGTTCAACACTCAGAAACTGAAGGACACAACCACAAAAGACACTTTCACTGCAACTGTCAGAGCAAAGCAGGAAACACTACGCGACATCACTGAAGAATCATGCGTGGAAGAACATTGGAAGTCTCTGAAGGCGATTCTCAACGAAACGTGTTCAACGGTTCTAGGAAGAAAGAAGAGACAAGACAAGGAATGGCTCTCAACGGACACTTGGAAATTAATAGAAGAGAGGAGAATGGTGAAAGAGAAAATGATTCAATGCAAGGACGGACAGGAGAAAGAGACGCTGAGCTCAACTTACACAGCACTGGACAAAGAAGTGAAGAAGTGCTAGGAAGGACAAAAGACGATTCTACGACAACCTCGCCACTGAAGCTGAGAAGGCAGCAGGCAAAAGGGACCTGAGGACACTATATCAGATAACCAAATCTCTATCCGGGAAGAGATCAACACAAGCGAAACCTATAAAAGACAGCCAAGGGAACCCAATTACCAAGGAAGAAAAACAGATTAAACAATGGGCGGATCACTTCAAAGGACTCTTGAACCGACCATCACCTGCAACCCGTCCAGAAATACCAACAACAGCGCGCACACAACTGCAAGTTGACACCAATCCTCCAACGAGAGCTGAAGTCTTGAATGCAATCAAGCTTCTGAAAGCTGGAAAAGCAGCTGGACCAGATGGAATACCCCCTGAAGCACTGAAAGCGGACCCAGAGGCTACAGCAGACATACTGACTCCATTATTGCAAAAGGTCTGGAAGGAGGGAAAGGTGCCTATTGACTGGAGGAAAGGTTACCTCGTGAAACTACCAAAGAAGGGAGACTTAGCCCCACTCTGCAAGAACTGGCGAGGAATCATGATCCTGTCGGTGCCAAGTAAAATCCTGAGTCGCATCATCCTGGAGAGATTAAAAGACGCACTGGAGAAAGAACTCCGACCAGAACAAGCTGGAAAGGCAAATCATGTACTGACCAAATTGCAACTCTACGCATCATCATCACAAAACAAAGCATGGAATGGCAATCAAACCTCTACCTCAACTTTATAGACTTTGAGAAGGCCTTCGACAGCGTTGACCGTGAAGTAATTTGGAAATTACTCGAGTACTATGGCGTACCCCAAATATTCATCAACCTTATTCAACAGCTGTACGACAACGGCACATGTCAAGTGATCCACAACGGAAAACTCAGCGAGGCGTTTAGAGTAAACACAGGAGTCAGACAAGGGTGGTTATTATTACCAATGATATTCCTAATTGTGGTGAACTGGATTATGCGTCAGACAGTGAGAAGCGAGAAAACAGGGATATCCTGGACCGACCGACGTAAAGAACCTAGAAGACCTGGATTTCGCGCGTGGATGATTGATGCTTGATGTCACACAAAATCGAAGAATTACAAGCGAAAACCAACAAACTGGTCGAAGAAGCAGCCGGCGAAGACAGGACTCCAGGTGAACATAGACAAGACGGAGGTTATGGAAATAACCAACCAATAACAACAACAGCAGCAACATCCAGCGCCAATCACCATCAACGGGAGGGATTTGAAAGAGGTTACCTCATTCAATCACTGATCTACGGAGCATTGTCTCAACTACAGGCAGTCAGAACGGACGAGGATGTCAAATCGAGCGAGAATCGGGAAGGCGAGAAACACATCATCATCGACCTGAAACCAATCTGGAAATCTTCGTCACTCAGCCAGCATCAACAACAAAATTCGGTCGGATTTTCAATACAAACAACGTCAAGTCAGTCAGTTCTTCTATGCGGATCAGAAACTTGGCGGGTGGGTCACAAAGAATATTCCCAACAGCCTGTTGCAGACCTTTATCGACAACTGTCTTCGCTCTATACTGAAGATCAGATGGGCGGGCCGGGAAGAATCACCAACAAGAAGTTATAGGAACAAACAAAGCAAGAACCAATCGCCAACCAACAAATATGCAGGAGAAAGTGGAGATGGATCGGACACTCGCTGAGGAGAGCGCTGGGTGACATCGCGCGTCAAGCCCTCGAGTGGAACCAGGCCAAAAGGGAAGCGGCGTGTGGGACGTCCAAGGGTGACATGGAGGAGATCGTGTGAAGAGTTGAAACAGTATGGACTAATATGGATGAAGGTGAAAAGTACAGCAGAAGGAAGACAGAAGTGGCAAGTGGAGACGTGCAGTTGAAGCCCTATGCTCTACTAGGAACCCAAGGGAGCAATAATAATAACAATTATATATAATGTGCACCAGCGGCAGCAAGTACATTGGAAGGACAGAAAGAAAGGCTTTTAACCGGTTTTTAGAGCATATCCTAGGAAGCTTATGTCTAAATGGAAGCAGATATTGGCGAAATGTAATTACTAGAGGCCTTGCGGATACGTGTCATTCCGTCGAGATTTCTAAATGCTTCAAAATATTAAACATACAAAGGACAGTAAATTTACTACGATTTGATGAAACAATTGCAATCAGTCGTTCCAAATCAAACCC